GTAAACGGAAGAGACAGCGAAGTTGGGAAGCTCCCCTCCAGGGAACAATGAGGAAGGGCTTTTCTCACGCAGTTGCTGTTCCCTTCTCTCACCAAGGGGAAGAAGATATTGGTTTGTGTGATTGAGACCAGGCGGCGCAAGGGAAGAGGCACCTTTTAATCTTTCCCTCTATTCTGCCTTCATCCCGTTTTTCTGACCAGAAACATTCGTCGCGTTGATCAGGCATTCATTAACCATCTCTGGTGTGCCCAGCGCTGTGCCAGGCACTAAAAGGGTGGGTAAGGTGAAGCCAGGAGGGGCTAACAGTCTGGGTAAGGACTGGGAGGGTCAGAGACCCAGTGGGGCTGAGAGGTCATGTTGGAGGGCTTCGTGGAGGAAGTGGCACTTGAGCTGACACAGGAAAGAAAGGCTGTTCCAGCCAGGGGGTAAGCTTGGGGAAAGGCAGGGTGTGCAGTGGTGCTGGAGCCTTCTGGGAGTACAGTGGCAGGAGGATGCAGACTGATGGTGAATGGCCTTGATAAAGGCAGCAGGGCTGGGACTAGAGTGAAAGCCTAGCATGCAAAATTTAAGAGGAGGCTCACTCCGGACAGGGCACAACCCTGTGCCTACTTAAAGGTTGGGCCCTGTGTGCCTCACTTGCCTCACCCTAGTTCCTGCCTAAATAGCAGGTGAAGGATGCAGCCTTTATTCTGTAGGCACAGGGGAGCCATGGAAGGTTTTTGAGCACTATTGTGCTCAGAGTCAATTTTAGGAAGTTGTGGTATGATTTGGGATGAGGGAAGAATTCTGAGAGACTTGGCTGAGGGTAGCTCTTTCTCCTGCTATGGAGAAACATCTCTCTTCTGGATCCCCTTCAATTTGGGGGTCTTTGACTGCCCTGAACTGTGGTAGCCCAATTAGAATAGTCTGTGGGTTTCCGATATGGTTGCCACTTTATCTGCTATGTGGGACTTCCAGATGCAGCATCTTACCCAGCCTTTTTGTATTTTGTATACACGGAAACTGAGGCCCAGAGAGGTTACACCACTTTCTGGCAAGAACCAGGGTCTAAACCCAGGGGTGCTGACTTCTGGTTTCTGCTCTTACTATTCTACTTTGTCTGCTGAGGAGTGATGTCCCTCTTTATTCCTGCATGAGCCGTTCACCAGCCAGGATGCTCCCTGGATGGCACGAGGGGCTGGATCTCTTCCAGGGTATCTCTGCCCCCTCACTGGCTGCCTCTAGGCCTGTGCTCAGTATCATTGCTGCTCAAGACAGTAGGCAAAATCATCCTGGCCAATTCCTAGGATGCTTGGATTTCCTCTGCTGCATCCATGCTGTGCTTACATACCTCTAATGACAAGGTGCTCACTACCTTTCAAGGTAGCCCATTCCAGCTTCCGCCTGCTCCATTGACAGTGTTTTGTATTGTAATCAAAGTAATACATGCCCATGATCAAATAAAATAGCACAGAATGGCTTAGAGTAAAAAGCAACGGTCCTCTGTTCCACCTCTCCCTGGCACCAGAGATCACATTAGCTTCTTTTAGCTGTTTCTTCCAGAGTTAAGTTCATATTTCTAAATAATAATAACAAACATTATGTAGCACTTTCTGTGGACCAGGCCCTGCTCTAAGTTTTTACACATAATTTTTTTTTTTTTTTTTAATGAGGAAGATCAGCCCTGAGCTAACATCCATGCCAGTCCTCCTCTGTTTGCTGAGGAAGACTGGCCCTGGACTAACATCTGTGCCCATCTTCCTCCACTTTATATGGGATGCCGCCACAGCATGGCCTGACAAGCGGTGCATCGGTGCACGCTGGGATCCGCTGGCTCCGGGCCGCCAGCAGCGGAGCGCGCGCACTCAACCTCTACACCATGGGGCCAGCCCCTACACATAATATTAATTCAACCACAACTCTTGAGGTAGGATCTACTATTATCCCTCATTTTACAGATGAGAACATTGAGGCTCAAGAGGTTAAGTAACTTGCTCAAGATCTGGTTAGTGGTAGGGCTGGAATAGGAACCCAGGCGGTCCAGAGTCCATACTCTTAAAAGCTATGTTCAACTGCTATTTCTTTGTTTATCAATTTTAGCCTCTACGCTAATGTTTATTGTTTGGCTCCCTTATACCTCCCTCATCTTCACAAGATAGTTCTTTTTATCACTATTTTTACTTTTTTTAAATATGTTTTGTGATCAAGGATAGTAATATTTTATTAGAACCATTTTATTTTTTTTTGTGAGGAAGATCAGCCCTGAGCTAACATCCATGCTAATCCTCCTCTTTTTGCTGAGGAAGACCAGCTCTGAGCTAACATCTATTGCCAATCCTCCTCCTTTTTGTCCCCAGGGCCCCAGTAGATAGTTGTATGTCATAGTTGCACATCCTTCTAGTTGCTGTATGTGGGACGCAGCCTCAGCATGGCTGGAGAAGCGGTGCGTCGGTGCGCGCCCGGGATCCGAACCCAGGCCGCCAGTAGCGGAGGGCGTGCACCATTATTTCTATTTTGGTCAGCTGTAGGCTGTATCTCTTGACTCCTTTTTAAAAAGAGAATGTTAGTCCCCTACCCTAAACTTTAGCTTTCCTTACCCTTTCCCCCAACTCCTGTCATCTAGTTTTGCTTTCATGTTGTCAAGGTTGACAGTATTTACCTGCTGTCTTTTAACCATAGTCTTCCATGTTTTGTTTGTAGATTGATTCTAAACTTTGAAAATCAATGTTTTTTTAATTAAGCCATGTAAATATTGTTCCCTGCAGAGCCAAGCAATGTTTAACAGTTTTCATTTGCTTTCTTATATTGCTTTTGTTTATCCTGGAGTTTCTAATTGCCTTTCTTTTTTTCCCTCTTCGATTTGCCTTCATTTTCTTATTTTTTGTTCAAACTTTCTATCATGTATTTAACTATGACTATCGTCCCTGCTTGACTCTACCATGGCTGAGACTCCTTCCTTTTCTGCCAGGCAGTCCTGCAGATGCTGCTCACTGCTTTGAATATTTCAACTGTATGGTATGCGCTCGCCAACTGTCATGATATTAGTTTCCCATATGGTAGACTTGTAAAGCTGTGGAGGAGAGAAAAGGCCATCCTTGTTTCAGGTTACCTGCCATTGTGCTTTTACCATTGTTCTCGGTGGCAGTTTCTGATGATTGAGACCCAGAGCTGGCACAGGCTGGGAGCTCAGTGTGTGAAGTCTGTGGAGTCAGAACTGGGGACAGGCTTGAGGTTGCTCATCCCCAGGACAAGGAATGGGGGAGAGGATGCCTTCACCCTCCATGATTTGCCTCCCATGGTCAGAGTCCCAACAGAAGAAAACCAGTCAGATGCTGACCAGTCTTGATTCGCAAGTTGATGTCTGCCCTGTACCTGCCCTTTTTACCTGCCCTGCTAAGCCAGGCCGGAATAATGACAGGGATCTCTGTTGACTGAGGTGCCTCCTGAGGTGAAGGAGAAAATAGTTACTGAGCCCTAGTATGTGCTAGGTATCCTCATGTTCTAGAGACCCACACCTAAGTGCTTCCTCAGGCTTTCAAAATGCCTTTATTCCCTGTACCAAACATGCTACTCTTTGCCCAGTTTGGAAGTTTCCAGAACAAAACACTGAGGGCTGTTATCCGCCTTCTCCATCCAAGTTCTTCAGGCCTTGAGGTTATCACCATCTGCTTTTTGAGGCCTTGCCCTGATGGTCACTAAGAGAAAGGGGCAGGGTGGGGCCTCTGTGCCAGTCTTATCTCAGAGCAGTCCTCACAGTTAGTTCTGAGTATCTGCCCAGTTTGAAGGCCCACCCTGCCCTCCCTTCTCTTCCTCTCCACCAGTGAGCCAGGCATCTCAAGTCCATGCTGTGCCTTTCTCACGTCTACCTCCAGGCCTTTGATCCTGCTCTCCTGCTGCTTTTCTGCCTAGTTAAATCCACCCATCCATGCTTCCAGGCTCCCTTCCTTCCTGAGCCTTTGCATATTGCTCAGGCCACACTGATCCCTCTCTGTCTTGATCTCCTAACATGCTACATAGCTTATTCTAATAATCAGGAACAGAATAGCAAGCTATTCAGAGCATAGGTCTTGAATTTCTATAGACCCAGGTTTGAATTCTATGTTATTCAGGATTCCTGGGTTGCAAGTGACAGAAAGCCAGTGGGAGCTGCAGCACCCTTAGCAAAAGGGAATGTACTGGCTCATGTGGCCAAACCATTGCCTTGGGGATGCCTGGAAGCAGCAATGTGAGCACTCTCAGGGCTGCTCCTCTTTTTCTCTGATCCTCTCTGCAGGGCTGCTTCATTCTCACCTGGCTGTCCCTTGAGGCTGGAACCTGGGCCACAGGCAGCCCTGGGCTTGCATCCCTAGCACCCCAGCACCAGAAAGGAAGGTGTTCTTTCCACCAAGTCTAGTTAGAAAAGTCCCACTGGGCTGGACTGGGTCACTGGCCCTGCCTATGGCTAAGGAAACATCTCTTACCAGAAGAAGCAGGGAGTGGGAAATAGGCTGACAAAAGGACTACCTGCTGCAGCTCCTTAGACAGGGGTGACCTTGACAGAGCACTTAACCCCTGTAAGCCTCAGTCTCCTCATCTGTAAAACAGGCAGGTAGGAGCCTCCTGGTATTGCTGTGAGGATTAGAGGAGGGTGCAGGTGAAGCTCCTAGCATAGCACACAGGCAGCACTCAGCAAGTGGTGGGGGCACTGAGTAGAAGGGACAGGAAGACTTAGTTGACCGAGGGAAGGCCCACTCTACCTGTCTTGCCTGCCGCCAAGGATGATACGATCCCCAAGAGCTTGCCTCCCTGGCTCTGGGTTGCTCCACCAGCCTAGTGTGGACCATTGGAACTGGCTGAGAAGGATCCTGGATAGTTATGGAAGCAATAGCAGCATTGACAAAGGAAAATCTTCATGGTGCCTCTAAGCTAATGTCTGCCACTAAAAAGAATGAATAACTGGTAATTGAGATTGTTCTAAACCAGCCAGTAATCAGTGAGCACAAACCGGGTACTGAGCTGAGAAGTCGGGAGCGTACGGCCCCATGTCACACAGCTCCTGTTCTCAGCGCAAATGGGACGATAAAACTCACACCTCCATCATCTTAGGAAGTAGCCAGCTGCTTGTCACTGGAGGTGTGCAAGTAGTGGCAGGGATGCTGTAAAGAGAATTTGGACTCTGATGGGGAGGTGGGTGAGTTGAGAGAACCTTAAAAGTCACCCCTCTTCTTGAGGGTCTAGATAAGAGAGCAAAATTCCAGCCCGATGATGTCATGGCCAGATGGGGAGTTAGAGATGAAGCACTACCTGACGTGGGGCTGGTGGGGCTTTGGGAAAAGCTTCATCAGAGAAGCCTTCCTGGAGGAGGCGGCACATGCACTGGCCCTTGAACTTCAGCTCCTCTGTGAAGAGCAGATGGCTAACTGCTTTGCAGGAGGGACTGGCATCCAAGGATGTGTTGTCAGATGGTGCTCCACTTCTGGCCATGTCTCTCACATCAACTTGTCCCTGCTGGCTTCCTTCTTAGGTTTCCCTGTGGACTGATGACAAAAGGGACTCCAGCAGCCCCATTCGCACCTCCTCGTGGTTCAGGAACCAAGAAAGAAGGAGGCCCTGTTCATCCCAGTCCATAGTCTGTAAGACAGATCTCACTAGAGGGCTCTGACTGGTCCAGCTCAGGTCACATGCCTATCCCATGGACTAGTCACTGTGGATACAATGATGGGGTAGGAGTTAAAAGCATAAGCTCTGAGCCAAATCATTTAGGTTCCTATATTTAGCTATGTAACTTTGGGTAAGTTACTTAACATCTTGGGCCTCAGTTTTTTTTTACTTGTAAAATGGGGGTAATAGTCCAACCTCACAGGGGTTCTGTGAGGATTAAAAGAGTTAAATGAGACAATACTTGTAAACAGCTACCACAGTGCCTGGAATATAGTAAGTGGTCAGTAAAGGTGAGCTACCATCATCCATCGTCACGTTTCACGCTTTTCAGCTGTATTTGCATCCTGTTCCCCACTTGACTTCCTCATTCTACAGGTGAGAGAGCCCCAGGTGTTATACCTGTATGGCAGTTTCCTTCCCGAATCACACAGAAGCTAATGTCAGGCAGCTGGAGTCCACTCCCAGGACATCTTCCCCTTGGCCACAGGGCCAGACCCCAGTATTTCCTGCAAACGTGTGTTTCCTCCTGCTCCCAAGTCCCCAGGCCTCCCTGTGGCTCATCTCAGGGGGAAGATTCCCAGGGGAGGAGAGAAAAGCTGACCTCTCTTGTCTGGCTCCTTCCCAGGCACAGCTCTGTCAAAGCTGAGGAGGCTGCTGGCACGGCTCCTTTCCACCTCGACCTCTGGTTCTACTTCACCCTGCAGAACTGGGTTCTAGACTTTGGGCGCCCCATTGCCATGGTGAGTGTGAAGCTGTGGACAGAGCCCCAACCCGCAGTGAGGAGAATTGACTGAGTGACCTTAGACGAGTCACTTCCCCCACGAGTAAACTACAAGAATAGGCCTGGATGGGGCCGGCCCCGTGGCTTAGCGGTTAAGTGCGAGCGCTCCGCTACTGGCAGCCCAGGTTCGGATCCCGGGTACGTACCGACGCACCGCTTCTCCGGCCATGCTGAGGCCACGTCCCACATACAGCAACTAGAAGGATGTGCAGCTATGACATACAACTATCTACTGGGGCTTTGGGGGAAAAAAAAGAGGAGGAGGATTGGCAATAGATGTTAACTCAGAGCCGGTCTTCCTCAGCAAAAAGAGGAGGATTAGCATGGATGTTAGCTCAGGGCTGATCTTCCTTACAAAAAAAAAAAAAAAAAAGAATAGGCCTGGATGATCTCAGATCCTTTGGTTCTGTAACTGTGGCCAAGGAGGCAACTGCCAGCAAGTGGAGGGCCTGGGGGGCCTGAATGGTCATATTGTGCCTCAACTCTCACGGGGGAGCTGGTAGCCCTGAACAGTCACACTGTGCCCCCCTATATCCCACATCCAGGTCTAACCAAATCACCAAGCCAGACAGAGGGGTATGGGAAAGGAGGCAGAGCATCCCACCGGTCTTTCCCGCTGCGTTGGGATAGCATTATTTTTCTGGAGGTGAAGAGTATAGGCTGATTTTGCATGTTATATAAGATTTTGAGCTCAGGTAATTTTTAGTGCCACCTGGTGAAACCATCTCCTTCCGTCTAAGGCTACTTCATGCATCAGCATCCAGTGGTGGCTTCCGTGGAGGAGATTAATACTGGCAGAGCACCAAAGCCCCTCACTTGTGATAGATAGATAGATAGATAGATAGATAGATAGATAGACAGATAGATAGATAGACAGATAGATAGATAGATAGATAACAGAATGTGAAAAAAATCGAGTGAGGTACCACCAGGCACCAAGTTGTTAATTTTTGTGTGTGGGTGGTAAAAATAACAACATCCACTGCTGAAACTAACACCTGGTACATGCTAGTGATAATGCAAATTAGCAAAGCTCTTGGAAAGCAGTTTGTCAGGGTGACAACTAGTACCTAGATTAGTGCCTAACGTGATAAGTCCTCAATACATTTCTATTGAATGAATAATAATAACAGTGAGGTAGAAATATCGGTTAACATACATTGAGTGCTGACTCTGTTCTAAGCTCTTTATGTGTTTAAACTTATTCAGTTTTCACATCAATGCTATTATTAATCTCAGTTTTATAGATGAGAAGACTTGAGGATAGAGAGGGTAAGGAACTGGCTCAAGGTCACTCAACCAGCAAGTGGAGGAAGCAGTATCTACACCCAGAGCCCACCCCCTTCCTGTCATGTGTGTATCCAAAACCCTAATATATTCATCCCCCCTGACCCAGTAAGACTCATTCCAAGAATCTGCCCTGAAGAATAATCAGCAGGAAGACAACAGCCTTTATCCCCAAAGATGTTCGTTACAGTGTTGCTTACAGCAGTCAAAACTTAGAAGTGACTTCAGCGTCCAGCAGTAGGGACTGGGTAAATCAACTTTGCTGTATTCAGTATAGAGAATCTTACCTGGCCATTAAACAGGAATTATGGATACTATAGAGCATCCTGGAATGTTTAAGGAGAAGAAAGGTGCCGAAGTGGCATGCATACTGACTGACTGCCAGTCAGTAATGATCCTAACAGTCTTGTATCCGTGGGATCAGGACTTGAAGGGGATGAAGAGCTGTCCCGGCAGCTGTGTCAGGGAAGACTTACGGTGGATGCCGGCTCTCCCTTCTGCAGACTTGCTGTGAGGTTTGCGTGTTGTTTTCTAAATGTAGGAAAAAGAAAAAGGACTAAGCCAGGAGTCAGGGCCCCTGGTCAGGTTTGCGGGTGACCCTGGGCAAGTCACTGTCATCTGGGCTTCGGTTCTCTCCTCTGCAAGACTGGTCGGACGAGCTGCTCTGAGCCCCCTTCCAGCGTGAAGGTCCCACATACTAGGGGACAAAAGAGCTGCCGGTCTGGTGCTACGGGATGGGGAGACATGAGGCCAGGAGCAGGCTCATGTCTCCTCACTCAGTAGGACTCGGCCTCAACTGGCCTAAAAGGGGTCTGCTGCTGGGCAGATCCCTTCCCCTATCCTGCCCAGAGCTGCTGTGGCCGCTCTAACCCTAAGTGGGCTCGTTGGGAGAGTATATATTTGAAAAGCTCATGTGTATACTGGAACTTTTCAAATGTATGCATGATACTCCCAAGTTTGTAATAACTACAAAATAAGACCTTTTACAAGTTATAAAAGTAATATGTCATAGGTGTGATGTCAGTTCATACCCAGGTGTATAAAGAAGTGTGAGGCTCTCCCTTTCTAGGCCCACCCTGACAGTTTGGGGCACATTCTTCCACTCCTTTCTCCACTCATACAAACATATATATATATATCTTTTTTCTTTTTCTAACCAAAATGAGGTTTTACTTTATACCTTATTCTACAACTTGCTTGTTTCACTTTAGAATATAGCATGGATATCTCTCCATGTCAGGACACATAAGGTGTCATTTCTGTTAATGGCTACTTAACCTTCTATAGTAAAGATGTACTATCGTGTATTCAACTAGTCCTGTTTGGTTGAAGAGTTGGCCTATTTCTGGTATTTTGCTATCACAAAGAGTTTTCAGCCAACATATATGTATTTTGATATAGATAAAGATATAGAGATACAATCACACAGCAAGTTAGAAAGAGAGAGATTGAGATTCCTGTATCCTGGGAGTTTTATTTCTGTAGGTTAGTTTTATCTAATGTGGCATTTTTTGAATTAAAAGAGAGAAACATTTACGTTTTCGATTGAAATTTTTGGTCATTACACGTGTTGTCAATCAACAGATACTGGAAGTACAATTTGGCGGGGGAGGGGTGTGTGTGAAATGTTTGATCTCAGATAGGGGTTTTCCCACTGACCCCGACAAGGCCAGGACTCACTGGGGTGACCAGTAGGAGGAGTGAGGGCATTCCAGACGGAGGAACTGCCCCTGGCCTGCCTCTCTCAGAGGAAGCAGGAAAGGAAGAACTGAAGCTACTTTGTAAACGCACTTATTTTCTTCTTTGTTTCATAATGTATACATTTGACCTGATTTGGAAGCGGTCCATCTGCTCACTGGACAGGGCACTTTTCCACCCCTGGGCCTAGTGGCCAGGAGATCTTGTCATCATCATAGGACCTGGAGTGCCAGATCCCTAAGGGTCCAGGTAGACCACCTGGGCCACACTTCTTGTGTTACAGATGGAGAAACCAAGGCCTAGAGAGGGGAATGACTTGCCCAGGGTCACCCAGGAAGCTGGTGGCACACCTGAGTCCCAAAGTAGCCTTCAACTGCCAGTCAAGTACCCAGGCACATTTATTTAGTACCCACTGGGAGAGGGGCCCAGGGTAGGCCCTGGATTTGCATCTAGCGTGTGCCTGGGGACAAGTTTGTTTACCCTCTCTGGGGCTCAGTTTGTCTGTCTAGAAACACTCTCGCCCCAGGGCTGCCGAGAGGACCCAGAGAAATCAGAGACAGAATGAAGTGTGTGTAGAGGAGGTGGGCTGCCTCCCGAGGGCCTCGTGGGGCTGTGCTAGTGAACACCACTCCCCACTTGCTCCCCAGCTGGTGTTCCCTCTCGAGTGGTTTCCGCTCAACAAGCCCAGCGTGGGGGACTACTTCCACATGGCCTACAACGTCATCACGCCCTTCCTTCTGCTCAAGGTACAGTCACAGCCCTGCCCTCCCTTCCCGCCCTCACTCCCTCCTGCAGCTGGCAGGGAACTGGTGCTGAGCCCTGGGAGTGCGCTGCATCCGCTTTTCTGGCCTGATTCCTTTTCCCGCCTGATTCCGGGGGGTGAAGGCTGTGAGAGAGGGATGCATCAGGGCCTGGGGGCGGGAGGGATGGAGAAGGCCTCCCCAAGGAGGGCTGTTTGATTTGGGCCTCAGCCTGGTGTGCCAAAGGGTGAGGGGGAGAGGCGCTCAGGCTCAAGGACCTGGGGACAAGGCCATGCTTGAGAAGCCATCATACCTCTGGGGAGGCTGAGGGGGAAGGAGCGGCCAGGTCGCCCAGGGAGTGGTCAGGGACCGGCTGGGAAGGCAGGTGGGGGCCAGGTGGCAGGAACAGCAGCAACAGAGGGTGACCTCTGTCCTCTGTCCTGGAGATTCCTGACTTTGAGATGCCACTGGGCGCACAGAGCTAGCTAGGGCTGCCGGCTTTGCACTTTGCCAAATAAGGGCTCTTAAAACAACTATCGCTATCTACTATCCCTATCGTTTTGTTTCTAGAAAGACATTTCAAATCTCCAAAAGTAGGAAAGGTATAATCTCAGAATTCAGAGGAGTCTTTAATTAAATAATTTAGTTTCAGATACACCCACCCCATCCCTGTCATTTTCTGTGTTTGCCGTGAACCAATCACTCAGAAATCAGAGGTTCCCTTCAGCAGGCCAGCGCAGCCACCCAGGAGCACAACTGGTGGCGGTGGGAGGGCTGGGCCTGAGGCCTGCACGCCTGTGTGGGAGGCCTGGCTGTCACCTCCAGCACGTGGCTTGTGTGTGATCTTGGGCAATGAACTGGCCCCTCTGAGGCTCTTTCTTCTCTGGGAAAAGAGGGTGCTGTTCCCTGGTCCCTGCTGAGTTCACAGGGATCATGTGAGACTCCAGAGGCTGGGCTGGCCGGCTAAAGGGACTCACCAATTTGTGAGTGACTTTCCAGCTGGGGGCGTCCTTCCCACCCCAGGTGTGAGGGAGGGAAGCAGGGGGTGTCTCCTATTGTGATGGACGCGGGGGTTACGCTGTCGGGCCTCCCTCTGACCTCAGCTCATCGAGCGGTCCTCCCGCACCCTGCCGCGCTCCCTGATCTACATCAGCATCATCACCTTCATCATGGGCGCCAGCATCCACCTGGTGGGCGACTCCGTGAACCACCGCCTGCTCTTCAGTGGGTACCAGCACCACCTGTCCGTCCGCGAGAACCCGATCATCAAGAATCTCAAGCCCGAGACGCTGGTGAGGCCGCCTCCCCCCACTGCATGTCAATCCTGGGGGCACAGTCTGTCCTGGGTTGCTAGTAGAGGGCAAGGCCCTGAGGGCAGGGAATGAGGGCAGTTGGGGAGAGGGCTGGTTGTAGGGAGAGGGTGGCCGGAGGGCTGCGGGCCCCCAGCACCCCCCTGAGCGCCTCCCCCTCTAACCCGCCATGCCCTGCCGCCCCCAGATCGACTCCTTTGAGCTGCTCTACTACTACGACGAGTACCTGGGCCACTGCATGTGGTGAGTGAGGGGGCCAGTCTCGGCCAGGAGAGCACGCAACAGCCAGCCTGTCTACCCAGGGGCCCTGGCCCCCGGCCAGCTCTGCCAGTGGCCTCGGGGACACAGGACACGACTCTGGGCCTCGGCTTGCCAGGAGTGGAGCGCAACGGCTGAAGGCGCTCTCTTCCCCTGCGGGGGCGCTGTGAGCGCGGCTCCGGAGACGGGCCCGGGCGCTGGCTGCCCTCCGCCTCCCAGCCGGCAGTGCCCGCGGCGGCCACTAGAGGGCAGCGAGCGGCCGTCCCTCCCTCGCCCAGCCTGGAGCCCGCGGCGGCGGGAAGGAGGCGGCCCTGCGCTGATAAACAACCCCGCCCCCCTCCCCATGGTGATGGGGTGCGTCTCGAGACGGGACCCCACACTGTTAGGCCGTGGTCTTTGCAATGGAGCTGGGGAGGAAGCCGAGGAGGGCCAGCTGGACCAGGTTGGGGGCGGTTTGTGCTCCCCCTCCTCAGAACTCCTGGCAGAGCTCCTCCCCCCTTCACCCTGCAGTGGGAGGAAACCTCACAAGTGTGGGCTCAGCCACAGGAGATTCGGGGCCCAGGCTGGGAGCGGTCAGCTGTTGCAACCCCACACTTACGCAGGATAAACGGGGGCCGGTGGGAGGAGGTTTGACCGTGGGTTGACAGCTAGGTAGTAACAGCCAGCCCTGGACCTGGGTGGTCCTGAGTGAGGTGGGCCCACTCATGTCACACATGCCCTATACTTGTGTTTCTAGGGTCTGTTTTGGGGCATGGAAAGTTGATCCTCCTGGCTCAGGGCTCCCTGGACAGGCCTCTTGCCAGCTCTCCCGGCCTTGGCCAGAAGTCCGTTCCGTGGAAGGCTGGGGATGGGAGGAGGAGAGAGAAACAGAGGCCGGGAGAAGTGAAATAGCAGGAGAGGATGTGGGAGAGTATGGGGCCCCCAGGAGGGGGGAAGAGAGGAGGGTGGGTGAGGAGACAAGATGGTACATGAGAAGAGAAAGGGAGTTGTGTAAGAGACGGCACAGGTGCGTGGGAAAAGCAGCCTGTGTGTGGAGAGGAGAGAGGGAGGCACTTTTTGGGTGAGATGTTGCATATGCGGGAGGGTGAGGCTGTGGGCCGAGTGTGAGTGAGGGGGCTTCCCAGAGCTCCTTGAGGCCCTGGAAGGTGCTGTTCTCCTTTTTTTTTTTTTTTTACCTGGGCCTCAGGCTTCTCCCTCCTCAGCCCTGCTGGGTATACCTGTTTCCAGGCCAGTGATGGGCTGGGGCTGTTGGTGTTTAGGGTGCGTGCATGAGGCAGAGGCACTCCCCCCCCCACACACACACACACAGAGTGAGTGAGGTGGCCAGGGCAGTGTGGGAGGGTGCCCCCGCCTCGTGGCCTATGGGCCCTGATTGGCATGGGAGCAGGCTTCATCTTCCTGCTTCCTTCCTATCCACCCTGGCCCCCTAGCATGGGACAGGCTGACAGGGACGAGTACCCTCACCCAAACCAGGAATTTTGTAAACCATGAGGTGACACTGCATGGGATGGTGCAAGGAACCAGCACAGGAGAACTAGTACGGGGACGGGAGGGGAAGAGGCTCTGGGTGGAGGCGGGTGGGCAGGGCAGCTGGACGGTCCTCTGAGGCCCTGGCCTCCCTCCTACAGGTACATCCCCTTCTTCCTCATCCTCTTCATGTACTTCAGCGGCTGTTTCACTCCCACCAAAGCCAAGAGCTCAATGCCAGGGGCGGCCCTGCTCCTGGTGGTGCCCAGTGGCCTGTACTACTGGTGAGTGGACATCGGTCCTGGGGTGGGAGGAGCAGGGGCTCTGGGTGAGCCAGGCGGTAAGAGTTGCTCTTGACCACAGAGTTGCTGCGAGAGCCCAGGTGATACTCTCCCTCCTGGGACCCCTGCTTCCTTGTCTGCCTAGGAGGGACTGTGACAGTGCCTTGTGGTGGCCTCTCTGTTACCAGGAAGCCAGGCCTGAGTGTGGCCTCTCCATCCTTCAGTGCCTCCACCCTGTTCCCCACCTCCCAGAACCCCAGTGCCACCTTGGGGCCAATAGAATCCATCTCCAACACCAAGCCCTACAGAGCCCCATGGGCCTCAGTTTCTTCCTCTGAAATGGGGACGATACCTACCTGTCTCCCTCTCAGGAGATGGTAAGAATCCAGGGGGAGAGAGAGGGCTTCATAAACTGTAAAGCACCATGGAGATGACAAGGACAGATAAGGGGGGAATTCCTGGGCCTCAGGAGCTCCCGCCTGGTTTCTTATTCCTTCCAGCTCTCTCTTCCCATTACAGAGGACCCAGGCCTCAGCCGGGCTCTTACTCCTCCTCTGTCACTTCTCCTCTGGAGACAGGCTCCCCCTGGGGTTGTGGGTGTTGTAGGAAGGACTGGCCCTTCTCTGATGGGAAGCCTCTGTCAAAATGAAAAGGGCCTCCTTTCCTGGGGCCAGCTCCCGCCCACCTCCAGGGTCTGGCCCCTGACCGCTGAGAGGGTCCACCAGGGTGAATCTGTATGGCCCCTGAGGACAGGATTAAAATGAATGGGTGGCAACACAGCAAGAGGGAAAGAGGTCAGACATGGGAAAAGCTCGCTGCCCAGTTCTTACCCACAGCGTGTTAGTGCAGAGGCAGCTACAGTAGGAGCAGCGACCATTTGTTGAACAATATGCTTTTCCAAGTAACAGAGGTACACAGCTCTTGTCAGTAACCTCAGGAGACAGGGCCATTTATGCCCCTTTATGAGTAAGAAAACAGAGGCTCTGAGATGTCATGTAAATTCCCCAAGGTCACCCAGCCACTAAATTGCAGAGCTGTAGTTCCTTGAGTAGAATGGATCCACATTGCGGTTCTCTCTAGAGGCAGGGGAGTGGACCAGATAACCTATCAGAGGCCCTCCAACGAGTGTTACTGAGTTCCTGGCCATGTGCTAGGTACAGTCATAGGAGCTGCAGGGAACCCTGGGAGATCTGAGACTGTGTCCCAGCCTTCAAGGAGACAGTAACAACAACCCCCGTAAATTGCAACTGCAGTCCCAAACTCAAATGCCTATAGGAACCAAGCTGGTAACAGAAATGCATCAAGCAGGCATCAAGTGAGGCAGTAGGGAATGGTGGGGACTGGGGCAAACTGTAGAATAATGCTCTCTTGAAAGGGGGCAGCTGCTTTCTCCTCTAATCAGTTGTTATCACATGGGAATACAAGCCTAATTCACCAGAGAAATTTGTAATTTAAATATTGGCAACAAACTCAACATATTCAAAAATAGTAACTACACAAGCCAAATCAACATGCAGCATATGGGCTGTGGCTCAGAGCTTTGTGGGTCCCTGAGCCCTGTCATTAGGTGAGCTGTTCTGACTGACTGGGAGGGCAGCCTGGTACTGGAGGAGAGGGAGGGATGCTGGGCTGAATGTGGCTGTCATGGCAGCCGCCTCACCTCACGCCCTGGCCTTTTCAGGTACCTGGTCACCGAGGGCCAGATCTTCATCCTCTTCATCTTCACCTTCTTCACCATGCTGGCCCTCATCCTGCACCAGAAGCGCAAGCACCTCTTCCTGGACAGCAATGGCCTCTTCCTCTTCTACTCCTTTGCCCTCACCCTCCTGCTTGTGGCACTCTGGGTCGCCTGGCTGTGGAATGACCCTGTACTCAGGAAGAAGTACCCAGGTGTCATCTATGTCCCTGAGCCCTGGGCCTTCTACACCCTCCACGTCAGCAGCCGACACTGAGTCCCTGGCAGCAGCCGCTGGTGCTCTGCTGGGCGGGAGATGGACCACAGAGGGTGTCTGAGCATGGGTGTGTGTATGCATGCATGGGGGTGTGTGTATGCATGGGTGTGTGTGCGTGTGTATGCACACCTGTGCACGTGTGTGCACACGTGTGTGCCTGCATGTGTCTATGTCCACCCACGTGTGTGCAGCCCATGACTGAGAACACGGGTGAGTGTGCATTGTGCACATGGATAGGGGTGTGTATGTGTGTGTGTGTGTGTGTGTGTGTGTGTGTGTGTGTAGAGTGCATCACCATGAGACTCGATTGTTTTGGTCAAGTTTCTTTTTGGTTTGGATCTTTTCAGAGTGGGCTTTAGTTTTAGGCAGTGTGTCCAGGCCCAGATCTGGGCCCTGCCTCCCTGCGCACCTGACTGGAGTTGGGGCCCCTCTCCTCCCACTGCTCAGGGCCGGTCTCTTCTTCCTGGGATGTCTTCTGGGAGCTGAGAAGGTGCAGGAGAGGCCTGAGTGGGGCAGAAGCCGGGAGGGGACTTGGCATATCACCCACCGCCTGGCTCACCCTGAGACCCGGCCTGACCCTGGGCGCTGGATTACATAGGAACTGTATGTGTATCCTTGAGCAAAGCATGGGCCCTCTCTGGGCCTCGGTTGCACTAGATGGGCCTGTGGTCCCAAAGTGGATTGGTGGGCTGGTTGTAGTCTCCTCTTGGGGCAGCCCTGGGATGGATGAGTAGTGTTATCCTGTCACTGCCCTCTCCTACCCTGGGAGAGGTATGTGCACCCCAAACCCTCACCCAACCTCAGGCCCTGTGGGGTTTTGGACCACCCCAACCCCAGGGAGCCAGAGGCCAGCCCCCTCCCCTAACCACCAGCCTGATCGTGGGGTCTGGCGGTGGTAGCTCTCCAGTCATCTGCCTCTGCCAGGAGCTCTGGCTGTCTCCTCTCCCTCCATGAGAACTGTGCCTCCAACTTCGTTGTCGGGCTGACTGCAGGTTTCTGAGCTGCAGCTGAAGGCAGAGTTCTCGAACACTTGCCCTCTTCCCGGAGCTCCATTATAGGGCTGGGGGGACAGCTTAAGGCTCTCTCCACTTAGCCTTGTCTCAGCCTGAATCTCATGCCTTTTGCCAGTGGCCCTGCAGGAAAGGGAGGCCTCATTCCTAGCAGAACGTCCCCCACCCCACGCCTTCTCCCAGCACTGGGGCCAGGTCTCCTCACACAGCTGCAGGCACCACAGCCTCCTTTTCCAGCCAGCACTGGTGCACCTGTGCTCGAGGGTCTCAGGAGGGCAGCTTTGCCTTCCCTGAGCCCCACCTCCTCTCCTGTGTTCTCAGGGAGCCCCGTGCCTCAGATTCGCCTTTCATGTTGGGGTCCCTCTGCAGCCCCTGGTCAGTCCCTGTCTGCTGGCAGCAACAGGTGGTGAGAGATGTGAATAAAGGCAGTATGGAGCCAAGCCTGGCTGGAGGCTGCTGCTTACTTTGGGTGTGAATTTGGGAAGGAGGGAGGTCCTTGGAGCAGGAGAGAGGGCAGCTAGTCTAGGGCCCAGGCGGGAGTCCTGGGCAGACCTCAAGAGCCCACTGGCCCTCCATGCCACTTAGTAGGATCCTGGGGTTGGGGGGTGGCAAGAAGGGCTCTCTTTAGAGGAGTCTGGGGCTAAGTGGGGGGGCCAGGATAGGGCATCTCCAGACCTGCCCCTCAGAGATGTCATGTCAAGCCTCCCAGCTATGCTGCCAGCCCATTCCAGAGGCTGAAGCAGAGAGGGTGCCCTTTGGGGGAAGGTGGGCAGGCTGGTTTGCTGGAGGCCAGCACTTAGCCTTGGAAAAGTCACGTGATCTCCAGGGCCTCGGCTCTTGATATGCAGTCTCAGCCTCACCACGAAGCCACCAGGGACTTACTGCGTGACTATTATCAGACAACCCAGAAGAGGGGCCGCGCCGGACAGGAGACGCTCGCACTGTCATAGGCCGCGTGCCCCGACCTGCCCAGCAACCTCACTTGATTCCTTCCCTACCTCAAGGCCACTGCTCCAAACCCCTGTGCTGGGCCTGTTCTCCACAGAAGAACTTAGTGGACGTCTTATGGGCAGGGGCGGCCTGGTTCTGTGGGGCCTGAAGCTTATGCAATCTGGGGAGCCCTTGATAAGAAAACAGTAAAAAATGAATAAAAAATTAGTTATGAAAGTGAATATTTAGAATGGAAAAGAAATCAGCAAATGCATGGAGCCTTGCAGATTCCATTCCCTCTTGACCAAGATATCTTTGGGCAGTTTACTGGAAACGTTTCCCTAGAAATACGTCTTAACTGCAAGCTGGCTTCACTCTGCGGCCAATGGGTCTCAAAGTGGCCTGACTGGCAGCATCAGGATGGCAGAGGAAAATGCAAACTCTTGTCCCCATCCACCTGCTGAATCAGAACCACCAGGTGAACAAAATCTCAGCCCCCAAGTGGTATCGGACGGGCTTCTGTTTTTTCCTGTTGGGTTGAAGTGTGGCACACACACAGCGCAGTCAAGCGTACAGCTGGATGGGTGTTTGTACAGCGAACCCTCATGTAGCCACCGCCCCTACAGGTGAGACTCCTAAAAACATGAGGAAGGAGTTGGCAAGTTGGGACGCCTTTGGGGGCACACAGGCCCAAACCCCATGACACAATGGCCTTTGTTGTTAGTGGCCTTCGAGTCAATTCCAACTCCTAGCAACCCTGTATACGGCAGGGCTGAACTCTGCCTGATCTTGTGCCGTCCTCTCATCTTCCTGCGCTATATCAGACAATGCTCCACCACTGTTCATAGGGTTTTCATGGCCAATTTTTTCGGAGGTGGGTGGCCAGGTCCTTCTTCCTAGTCTGTCTAGTCTGGAAGCTCTGCTGAAACCTGTCCACCGTGGGTGACCCTGCTGGTATGTGAAATACCAGAGGCATAGCTTTCAGCATCACAGCAACATGCAGCCGCCACAGTATGACAACTGACAGATGGGTGGTGTGGTTCCCTGACTGGGAAATGAACCCCGGGCTGCTGTGGTGAGAGCACCCAATCTTAACCACTAGACCCCCAGGGCAAGCCACACACTGACTTAAACCCAAGGAAATGTCTTATCTCCCCCATGAGCCCCTTCCAATGTCAGGGTGATTTGGAGCGAGAGCTTTGGCCTGGCTCCTCCAGGCTTCCCCACAAGCCTCAGCTCTGTGCCTCCCACCCTTCCGAGGCCTCACCTGACCTTCCTTCACTTCTCCCCCCAAGGCTGTTAGCGAGAATCTCTCTTCCTCTCCTGCCTCCTGCAGCCCAGCCAGCCTTTCCCTTTCTCAGCCCAACAGGGAGGAGTCAGAATCCTTGAGGTGAAATTCTCTGGGTCTAGAAACAGGTATGAAGAGGTGACTCAGGAGACATGATTTGGGGGAAAAGAAAACCTTCCACATGGAGGTGGTCAGGAAAGGAGGGAGGGAGAGTGGACCAAGGGCAGGCCCCACCTGTCCATGTGCCTTGTACAAACACTAAGAGGTCCCTCTTCCTCTGAGCACGTGCTGCCCCTCGCCAGGACCCACTGCTCCCCTGGGCCGGGAGCCCTTGTGCAGGGCACAACCTGTGCAGCCATACAAGCTGGTCCTAACAAAGTGGGCGGAGCCCTGGATTGGAGCCCCACAGACAGGGCGGCCACCAGCTGTGGACAAGGAGATGGAGGGTGAGAACCCAGCTGTGCGCGCAGCTCTAGGGAACGCCCCACACTGCCCTCACTTCCGGGGGAGGAGGGGGACACAAACCGCTGAGGAAATGGGGAGGCAGCGGCTTCTGCCGGAAGGGGTGGGGGCTGCGGTGGGGAGAGGAGGGAAAGGAAGAAAAGAAGGGGTCTTCCTGGCAGGGGAAAGAAACCCAAGAGGCCTCCGGCTGAGACCCCAGCGCAGGCACCCACCCCCACCCCCACCTCCAGGGTCCCCGGAAGGAGGGAAGGGTTTGACACGTGTTGAGAACCGACTGTGCGCTGGCCATTTGATTCTCTCCACAGCCCTGTGATGAGGCCCGGCGAGGAAACTGAGGCACAGAGCAGAGAAATGACCCGCCAAGGTCACTCAGCAAATGGGCGTGAAGGGAAGAATCTGAATCCAACCTGACTGAGAACACCAAAGCCTGTGTCCCTTCTACATACCGCTTCCCAAGGCCTTGGCGGTGGGGGCGTCTGTCCCGGGCCGTGCCATCGCGGCGGGGTTTCCGTCCCACCTACAAGGTGGTGCGCGATGAGCCTTTAAAAAGACACAGTGCGCAAAGTGCCCGACACCCAGTGGGAGCTTGTCAGTGTTCCAGCTTAGTCCCAGGAGAGACAGAGAAAGGCCCCCTAAGGCTCAGGAGCAGCTCCACCCCGGGGCCCCCTGTCTGTGTGTCTCTGACCCCTTCTCTGTGTCCGCGGAGGGCTCCCAGGAAGGAACAACGGCGTTTGTCCGTTTGCTACAGAGCATCAGCTTACCGATGCAGGAGCGGCCCCAGGGAGAGCCCTTCTGCAGCCCCGTTTTCTCAAAATCCAACCTGCTGCCTTGGCCCGCGCGGCGGCCGGGGCATCAGCTGCGCACGGAAGCTGGAATCTGACCCCTGGCGTTGGGCCTGGTCTCCATGGCAGCCGCGGATTTATTACTGGGGCCTCCACCCAGCTTGGCGGACTTTCGACTTGAAGCCGGGAGGAAGGGGAACCGGGAAGGCGGTTCTGGGAGCAGCGAGCCCACGGGTGGCAGCCAGAGGCCCCGCAATGGTAAGTGAGGGTCTGCGTCACCCCGCTGGGCTGACCGGGGCTGGGGGAGGGAGGGGCGCTGTCACGGAGGCCCTCCCTGACTGTTTCCTCTCTCTGTTGCAGGCCAAGTTTCTTTCCCAGGACCAAATTAATGGTAGGTTGGGTTTGCTCTTTAATTAGCAACTCACAGCAAAATATGGGTCTCATTAGGCAATTTGCTCTGCTCATTTTTTGTTGGTGGGAAGGAAGGCGCCTGGTCGGAGAGCTGGGCCCACCCACAGGCAAGGGGCAGGCTGCTGCTGGGGGAGGTGTGGAGGTGACAGGAGAGAGAGCTCACTAGAGAGCTTCCTCCAGAACCTGGTAGTTGGATTTGGGAGAGAAGGGGGAGAGGAGATGGCGAGGAACACCATGAACTGGCTATGGCCAAGGTTCAAACAAAAGAAGGGGGCTTTGTAATGGGCTGAGATAGGGAAAAGAGCCCAGCTCTGCACCCTCCGGCAGGATACTTCTACTCTCTGGGCCTCAGTCTCCCCATCTGTAAAGTGGGGGCGTCAGCTTAGGTGGTCTCTGAGGTCCCTCTGCCCTGACATCAAGCCTGGTTTTGGTGTTTGGAGCACTTTATTCCAAGTCCCCTAACCTGCTGGTCCCCAGGCAGGCTTCACTTTCTCACAGTGCATAGTTCTATTTCCACAAAGTGAAGGAGAAAGGGTTGGGTTACATAGAACTCAGGAGCCCAGACCTGGACCAGGGGAGGCTCAGCAGAGCCCAGGTAACATCCTGCAGGCCTTGGAGGTGGGCTTAGGGTTACCTGGGCAGGGATTCCAGAGTCCTAGGTACCCAGAGCTTGGTCTAGAAGGGAGAGTGGGTGAGTGGGTTGCAGGCTCCAGGTGGCACCTCCCCATAGACCCCTTGCTATCCTCACCCCAAGAGGAGGGCCAGAGCAGGGAAAAAACACAAGGCCCAGGGCAGGGGCCTCTCCTGCCCAGGTCTCAAGGCAAGACTGAACAGGTCTCAGGGCTGGAGTCCAGCTGTCAGCCTCAGTGTTCCCTCACCCACACCTGGTTCTGAGGCTCACTGACCCTCCCTCCTGGGGCCCCGAAGCCCCAGAAGGGAATAAGATAAGCTTCCCTATGTATCCCGGTATCTTACATCAAGAAAGTGGCTAATAAATGAATGAAAGACTGGGCAGGGGTGGCCTGCTGGAGTAGGAAGAACAGGGGCCTTGGGGGCCACAGACCTGGGGTCCAATCACTCTGAGCCTCAGTTTTCTCATCTGTGAGGCGAGGATAATGACACTGCCTCACCAGGCTGCTGTGAGTGAAGGACAGAGAGGATAATGTCAGTCATGTACCCCACACTGGGCAAAGCCTGGGTGTCACCGAGCCCTGTGCTGGGGCCATCTTGCCCTAGCTAGCGCCAGCCAGGTGGTACAGTCTTAGGAATTTTGTGGGCTGGTTGTTAAGATCAGTCATTGTTACACAGTGTAAAATGAAACAATATTCCAATCCTGCATCTATGCAACAACAGAAAAAAGATAGCCCTGTTGCAATCAGCAGTGCCGAAGATTTGAAAGAGGCTTCCGTTTAATGAATGTAATTTGTACAAGGGTGAGAAATAGTTTAACAGTAGTAAATTAAATCAGTAAATTAAATCATTTATCAGATTTAATTACAATATTCATTCATTGGGAAAAGAGGTGCATTCATTGGCATGCAACCTCATTGGTCAAATCATGGCTGAATCAAAACCGAAGGTTGGCAGCAGATACGAGAGTTGGCCAAACTCACTTGTGATAATCAATTGGCTCGATGGAATTTATAATGCAGAACATGGCATATTTTATTATTATTTGTGAATTACGTACTTCACATCCTTTATCTCTGTAAAATTTATAATAAACTTATATACATGTGTCATCAGAGCCAGTTGTTAAACCTTCGCCAGCACATTATCCCAGGCCCTGGGGACAGCTCTTTCTTGCCCTGGAGCATTTGTGTCTTCAAAGGGAAGACGTAAAGGGGATTTTTAATCCAATTCATTTAACCCAATTTATTCTTTCGTTCAACAAGTATATGAGTCTTTTCTTTGTGCCAGCCCAGTTCTAGGCATTCAAGATACAGCAGAGAACCCCTACCCTCACGGGGGTCACCTTCCAGGGAGGGGGCAACAAAGGAAAACCATAAAACATATAGGATGCTAGACGGCCAGCCTGTCAGGAGAGAAGGCCGGAAGGGGACAAGGAGTTGCGGGGGGTGCTGGAGGTGGGTGGAGAACTGCCCTGTCTTCTTGTTCTACCGCTGGAATTTTAAGTTCAGATCTGGCCTTCCAGGTCTTACGTGGTGTATTTGTCAAGATAGGAAGACAGAACTGCCTTATGTAACAGTTTGTTAGGAGGTGGGCCTCCATTTGACCCTGGCCCTGCTGATATCAGGGGCCGCCAGCCCCAGGTACTGATACAGGGTACGTGGGAGGGGGCAGTTGGCCCGTCTGAAGAGCCAGGCCCCAAGGGTGGGATGGCCCCTTCCAGCACAACTGTCGTAGGATGAGGTCTCAGGAGGGCAGTGGGCCCACTCCTCGCCCAGGATCAAATCCTGACAGGAGACAAGGTGGGGCAGCCATGAGAGGTCCCCAGGAGGGGCATGCAGGGAGAGCTGAGTTTAAGCCCTGCTTGCAGGGTGGCCCCCTCTCTGTCCCCCTGATGTCAGGTGCTGGTCCGGCTGGCACTGGTCCCTCTTGGAGGGAATTGGGTTTTGCAGGAATCAAAGGTGGGGTCTTAGGCCAGGCTCTGGCCTGCTCCCCTTGGGCCACTGCAGCCTCTGCTGCCTGGTCCTGCCTGTGGTCTGCCCCTCCCGAAGCCCAGGCTCTGGAAGTTCTGAACCTGGCAGGGAGAGGGGCTTCCTCTTCAACCTCTCCGCAAGCACAAAGGCAGCGAATTGTCTCTAGACCTCACCGGCCGGCCGGCCTTTTATTAGCTCCCCCTCTGCAATCCTAGGCTGCCGGGAGAGGCCTTATTTAGGGAACATGCAAGGACCCTAGGCCTGGGCTGGGGGGTTTAGGGGTTTCCTTCTCCCTCCCCTCTCCCTCTTGCTGCCCTCTCGTGGCTCCTGCCTGGGAATCGAGGATCCGGTGTGGCTTCAGGGGCGAAGCTGGCTTCAGGAGCCCGGCTGCCCACTGGAGGCCCTCAGCCACTCCAGCCTTCACTGCCCCATCTGCACAATGGGAACAATGAAGGGACCACAGCACAGCGGCGCTGCGAGGATTACACAAGGGCCTGGGGCAAAGCGCTCAGTAGTGTGAGCTGTCGTCGTCGTTTTGTTATTATTATTATCAGCTAAGGAGCCGCTGGTCCAGGCCTCTGAGGAACCAGCTGGGTGGCGTGAGAAGCAGGAGAGGGCAGGGTGCTGAGAAGGCCAGTGCAGGGCCCAGGGCCGGCAGGTTCCCGGTGGGGCTCAAGCAGGGCTCACCCTGTGGGCCTCAGGGATGGGACGGTTTCACCTGGGGAGCTCTTGACCAATTCTGATGGCAGCCGCACCCCCGGTCCCTGAATCAGAATCTCTGGGCGGGGGGGGGGGGGGGGGGGCTGGTATTTTCTGGAACACCTAGCCTGCTTCACTGTGACGGAGATGCAGGGGATGCCCACTCTGCTAGGCCGTGAGACTGGATCTAGAGGCCTTAGCTCGGGCAGCCATTTCATCGCCACCCAGGGAGAAGGGGTTCGGGAGAGCAGCCAGCCGGCTCTGGTCAGAGCCTGGGAGGACGTCCCGCAGCACCCCTTGACGTCATTGAGAACAGGACCAGGACTTGGGCCAGAGGGCATCGTGAGAGTTCAGCAGCCTGCAGGCTGGGGGCTGGAGCAGTGGACTGAGAAGTGCCCACAGTCGTGGTAATAATTGCCACCACATCTAAGACCACTCTCTGCCAGGCCCTCCCAGAGGAGATTTCTGGTCCTCTCGGTAACCCAGAGGCATTATTGTCTCCCTTTCCCACATATATTGTCTTTGCACAGGTCCCCTGGGCGTCTGGACGCCCTGCTCTGGGCACCTGGTCCCCCTGGGCTGAGAGAGCCTTCCTCTGGTTTTCATCAGTTGTGGGAGGGCAGAAAAGGGGGAAAAGAGAAAGGAGAAGGAAGGAAGGAGGAAGGGGGGAGGCGGAAGGGGACTTGGGAGAGGGAGGGGATAGCGTTGCCAGATAAAATACAGGACACCCAGTTAAATCTGAATTTCAGATAAACACAAATACTTGTTTTGATAAGTATATCCCAGGCAAAATTTGGGACATAATTGCACTAAAAATGTATTCATTGTTCATTTGAAATTCAGTTTAAATTGGCAGTCCTGTATTTTTATTTGTCAAATCTGGCACCCTAGGAGGGGAGGGAGAGGACGGAGAGGTTGTGGGGCGGGGTGGGGAGTGAGTGACTGTCCGTCTGGGCCTGGCAGAGTACAAGGAATGCTTCTCCCTGTACGACCAGCAGCAGCGCGGCAAGATAAAAGCCCCTGACCTCCTGGTGGTGATGAGGTGCCTGGGGGCCAGCCCGACGCCAGGCGAGGTGCAGCGGCACCTGCAGACGCACGGGATAGGTGAGTGCGCTGGCCCAGAGCCTGTTGCCAGGGGAGAAGCCGCCCGGGCTGGTGGGTGGGCCCTGAGCCCTGCAGCTGTGGTCCTGCAGAGGGGCCCAGCCGAAGGGTGCAGATGGTGGGGTGTGAACAGCTCAGAAGATTGGGGTCGGGTGGTAGGCAGAGCTCACGGGCTCCTGCCTCACTTGGGCTTCCTTGAGTCCTCACAGCAGCCGGTGATGCCCCCATCTCACAGAGGACTTCCGGATCTAGGCATTCCAACGAGGTTAGCACAGACCTGCAGTCAAGGCAGTGATCCCGGTGGTGTTCTGATAGAATGGTTTCCCTGGATTGAGTGTTAGTCCTGTGCTCAGTTCAAATAACCCCATGAAGTAGGCACTATCCTAATCCCTGGTTATGGGTAAACACCAAAGTTCAGAGTCATTAGGTAACTTGCCCAAGTGCTTAATTAAGCCGATGGAACCCAATTCTTCTGATTTCAAAGACTGACCCCCTAAAAACAACACGATACTGTGAGAAAAAGGTAGAAGAAAACCCACCCAAAACTTCCCAAGTGGTTCTCTCTAGTGAGGGGATTAGGGGTGATTTTCATTCCCTTTATTGTTGTTTCCTGTTTTTGACAACGGGAACACAGAGGACTTTTATAACCAGAAACAAACAAGTGGGGTTTTTTTAAGGAAAAAAAAGGAGGGGCGTCAGGAGGCTGGGGTGGCTGTTTGCGCTGGTAGCTGGGCACTTAGGAAGGAAAGACTGGCCCAGAGGAAGGGGGTGCCTGGAAGGAGCACTTGACCTGGAGCCCAGAGGCAACTTCTCAGTCTCTGGACCTCAATTTCCTCATGTCTCAGATGGGTTCTACCATCTGCTAGGGTTGTCCTGAGGTCCCGTCAGAGCGTGCCTGCAGCAGCACTGGGAGCCATCCCCAGGCTGGCCAAGCTGGGCCTGGGGCGGGCCTCTGAAGGCCTGGAGCCTGCCTCTGAAGGCCTGGAGCCCAGTGATGGGGCACTCAGCAACTGAGATCCCCCGTTTCCAGCTCCGAAGGGGTGGTGGTTTCCTTTGGTATCTGTCTCCTCCAAACAGGAAGTTGTGGTCAGGGGAAGTTCTGATTTCCTGCAGTTGTAGCCTGGCCGGGTCCCCAGGCGTGCTCGGAGAGGGGCATGGACTGGGGAGACTGGGCTGGAGGCTGCAGTGAGGGGAAAGGCAGGTGAACAGCCCAGGTGGGACTGGGGCTTGAGGCCCCAAGGGGGGTCACCCCTCTATCTTGGTGGATGTGCTGCAGTGGGCACTAAGGTGGGGGGTGGGGTGGACACATAGATGTACTTCCCTCCAGTTCAGGGCAGGAGAGAAGCAGCCAGAAGGGAGCAGAGGAGGTGGCGCTCCATCCTGATCCTGCTGCTGCTCTGTGATGTGACTCCACACTCTGAGCTTCTGCCTCCTTAGTGGGCAAAATGAGATGATGATAACCATAGTCACTGAGGATTGTTGGGAGGATTAAATGAGGCGTATCCATGGTAGCAACTCAGTAGGAGGGGCTGCATCCTCTTCACCATGACCTCTGCCACCATCATGGCGGCTCCTGAGTTAGGTGGCCCTTGAGCTGGCCATGAAGGCTTGGGCAGAAGGCCAGTTGGCTTCCCCAAGCAGAGCCTTTTCCTCCCTGTTCACTCTGCTGTGTTTGGGGGTTTCCTAGAAAGAAATGGAGAGCTGGATTTCTCCACTTTCCTCACCATTATGCACATGCAAATCAAACAAGAGGACCCAAAGAAAGAAATTCTTTTGGCCATGTTGATGGCGGACAAGGAGAAGAAAGGCTACATCATGGCGTCTGAGCTGCGGTCAAAACTCACGAAACTGGGGGAGAAGCTCACCCACAAGGAAGGTAATGCCCTGGGTCCATCTTTCGCAGTAGCAGGAGTAGATTAGGGAGTTGGGGGGATGACGCCAAAGCCCAATCCATGCCACCAGGATTGTGTGGACCCTGCATTAGATGCACGCTCCAGAGGCTGCTGCTGGATGTCAAGGTGGGTGAACTCTGGACTGGAGTCCAGGGGAAGAACTAGGGAGCCTGGGGGTGACAGTGGAGAAGTCGGCAGGGCAAAGGGACGGCCTGTGGAAATCCAGCTGGGATCCACGTGGGCATCACGCTGTGTTTAAGCTTTCACTGTGGGCCTTCATTTAGTGCTTATGGCACCCCTGGGAGCACTAGTGCCCCCCTTATACTGATAAAGAAACAGGTAAAGTGAGGGGCTTATGAGTAGCTGAGCTAGGAGTTGAATGCAGGCCAATTAGACACTTGTCCACCTCCCAGCCCATCTCAGGCTCATCCCCTCCCCACAGCTGTCTTTTGAAGTTGCTGCTGATGCCAAGAGTTTCCAAACTGAGATGATACTTTGCCCCCTTTCCTCATGGCTCAGCCAACACTGAGAGCTCTTCCAGAAGGGGTGTCCATGGCGGTCTTGGCAGGGACTGCTGGTCACAGAACCCCACCAGTGGGTCTTTGCCTGGAATCTTCCAGCAGCCCAGCATACTTTCCTGCTTCAGAACAGCACCAGCAGCCTGGGTCTTCTGGGAAAGCCCTTTGTACATGGGAAAGGGCGACCTCAATGCTGGGCCATTTGCCCGCATTCTTCCAGCCTGCCTGGCTAGCCCTTCGGCCCTGCCACAGCTGCCATCCCGGGTCACTGCCAGAGTCCACATCCACCAACCGGAGGCTTCGATTTCTAGTTAGGCCCCTGGGCTGTGGTTGGGATGGGAGGGTTGGGGTGGGACACAAGTGGCTGGAGGAAAAGGGCTACAATCATGACGGCCTTTAGCCTTTGGTTAAGTCACAACAAGCCAGTGGAGAGGTTACAATGTCGTGGTTTGAATTAGATTTGAATCCTGGCTCCCCCTCCTTCTGGGGGCGCTCAGGCGAGTTTCTTAACCTCTCTCACCCTCCTCAGTTTTCTTGTTGGGAAATGAGGTTACAATAGACAATCGCTCAGGTCCCTGCAAGAGCTAACGTTCTGTAAAGCAGTCTGCTTAGATTTTATCTGCAGTCACAGAGGCACAGTGCAAAAGCATTTAAAAATAGTGCTCCAGAAGGCCGATGCAGCTAGCTCTCCCCCACTTCTTCAGGCTGGCAGCTATCACCATCTCAGCTTTCACTGGGGCTGTTTTATGTGAACAAGGGAAACATGGGCTCTCCTTCCCTCTCAGACTCTCAGGACACTGCTTGGCCATTTATGTACCAGGTGGAGTGTTAGCTGAGAGGGCCAGTGGGGGCCTTAATTCTCAGGGTTAATGATCTCTGTCTAAAGCAATACCATGGCCCCCAAACTCACACACATCTCTCCTTTGTTTAACCATTAAAGAAATATTTCAAAGAAACTAGCAATGTGTTCCAGACAAGCAGGGAGGCCGATTTCCCTTCCTCTTGCTGTGGGAAACAGGAAAGATGATACTAGAAGTAGGAATCCTTTACCTTGGGTGATTGAGAGAAAATCTTCAATTTTACTAAGAAGCATCCTTGGAGCAGCTGGAGATGGCTGCTGGGGAGGCCTCCCTTCCGAGGCCTGGGACAGGCTGACTTCAGCACCCTGGTTCTTTATGAGTTCGCAGAGGGAACTGCCGTTCTACCCAGAAGGCATCAACAGGATCCAGCCCCCGGCTATGAGGGGCTGCCCCTCTTCTGGACAGGAGGCAGCTGCAGTAGTTGGCACTGGAGCTGGTGTTGGACCTGTCCACAGGGACAGTTTTAACCAAGTGGCTGATGGTAGAAGCTTCCCCACGAAATAAGATAAATCAGTCTCCTCCACATTCTAAAAATACTCAGAACTACTATCAGCTCAGGCACAGAGCACAGTAATTACATTTTAGAGGATAGTTAAGCAGAGAATCACAGGATATTTTCTTACTGCCCAGAATTATGTGTTGGGGATGTCTAGGGGCAGGGAAGTTAACACAGGGCAGTGAGACAGTTTTGCAAGATGGTGCGGATGGTCCAAAGAGCCAAAGGTAGGTTGGCCCCGAGAGGCCACTGTGGAGAAATGTAAGCTGAAATGGCGCTTCTTGCCAGCGCCTGGGACAAGCTAGTATTTTGTCTCAGGAATCCAGAACCAGAAGAAACAAGTAGATGAAGTGATTTTTTTGGAGCAACATGCGAGAACAATGGCAGTTTTGTATACTATGAGCTTTAGACACAGTTGAATTTATTTTCTCTCATACTACCCCCACTCTCAAAACACACTTTTTAAAAAAGAGGTGATGGTGGCAGACACCGCTTGTCACTAAGTGCCCTCTTGGGGTGGGGGGTGGGGGGAAATGCCCATTTGGAAGGGAAGGCAGGCAGGCCAGGGGCAGGCCAAAGCCTGGGCTGGGTGGAGGGTCTCTGCTTTCTGCGCAGAAGCTGAGAGGGAGGGCCGTGGAAGGTGAAATCCATGCCAAAGGTTTCTGGAAATATAGGCACGGGGTCAGATATATTCTAAAAACAAAACACACAAGGTGGCTTCAGAGACTGAATCCTCATCAGTACACCTCCCTGCCCCCTACCCCGGCCCCTGCAGAAAGCCTGATTAACTCAAAATTGAATCCATGGTCTCCAAGGGGGAGGAGGAGTGTTGTCCTGTTCTGTTCACTGGTTTACTTCCAGGTCTACAGGAACAGTCAATTGGACACTCAGGGAAGACCTCTGGGGAGCCCCAACCCCTAAGAACTCGATGTCCTATAATGTAACACTAAAGCCAAACTGAAAAATTAATGTGATTTATTGCAGTGGATGAACTTTTCAGGGAAGCAAATATCGAACCAAATGGCAAAGTGAAGTATGATGAATTCATCCACAAGATCACGATTCCTGTGCAGGACTACTGAATGAAGAGAAAGCAGGAGAGCCTCCCTGGGCCTGAAAACTCAGACTGATTAATCTTTAAAAAGAAGTGTTCCTTTCACTCTAGGGAGATGGCAGACACAGCAGCAAGATGACATTACCCAACTGCAGCAGAGGATAACTTAGCAATGAAAATAAATGATTTCAGCCATGGTGTTAGCATGTCTTTAATAAAAGATTTTTATTGATTTTAATAACTACCATTAGTTCAGCCCTTTACAGCTGGAAAGAGTCTATGATTTGGAGTTGCGCCTGGTTCCAAGTCCTGACTCTGCCATTGCCCAGCTACGTGACTTTGGGCAAATCATTTCACCCCTCAAAACCTCAGGATCCTCACTAAAGTAGGATTCCTACTTCTTACCTCATGGAGCCTGTTGAGGATGGTCTGAGATAATGACTTGAAAATGCCTTTGCAAACTGTAGAGCACTGTGCAATCCTGACTTACCATGGTAGTGCTTCTCCTAAAAAGGGCAATCTACCAAAAGACTACATGGTCATGTGTCGCTTAACGACGGGGATACATTCTGAGAACTGCGTTGTTAGGCGATTTTGTCTTTGTGCAAACATTGTAGAGCGTGCTTAACAAACCTAGATGGTATAGCCTACTACACACCTAGACTATATGGTACTAATCTGGTGGGACCACGGTCATATATGTGGTCCGTTGTTGAGTGAAATGTTGTTATGCGGCTCATGCCTATATTCTATATCTGGGTGCTGGAACCATCTTCCACATTTCCAAGATAAAGCCAGTGCTAGCTGACAAACAGCGACAAGCAAAGAGCTAAAACAAGCAAACAAAAAACTATGACAACATTTCTTGCGGCACCATGCGTGGCCGCATAACAAATTCTCATGCCCATCTCAACACACAGTAACATAGTTCAGGATATTCACTCATTCCGAGGATAGGGTGAAAACACTCATGTTAAAACAAGGCAGCATCAGTTAAACAGCTGGCAGAGTGACCTGACTTTACAGCCCACACCAAAGGAAACCAGACGTGACATGTTGCATTCACTGAAGCCTTACAGAGCTTGAGACGGCCCTTTCTGACGCTCCTGTCAGAATTTCGAGCTTTCCACTGGCTTGTTATCAGCGAGGGTCACGGGACTAGGACGATCTGCTTACGTGGACCAAATTGATCATGGCTTCCAGCCATTTCCCCAGGACTAATGGAGAGTAACAAGGGATGTAACAGGCCATGGCCATGATGCAGCAAGAGCCCTGGGAAACAGTAGTAGGGGTACCAGTCCTGCTGGGAGCTCTTCCAGCTCAGGTGGCTTTTTAAGTGAGTTACGTAGCCAAGAAGTGCCAGGCCGGTGCTGCCTGCATGCTCATCAAATTTGTGGATCCATCGGTAGTGGTAGCACAGCCCTAAAAGGGGGCTGCCAGGGCATAGCTCTAAGTATCGAGGTTTTCATCTTTATATGTATCAAAATTGGGCTCTCTGGGCTGTAGCTTTGTCTAATGGTGCCTTAGTGGCTAAAGCAAAAGAAAACCAAATTAAGAGGAGGAGGTGTGTCTTTTGGGAGGTTATCCAAGACACAAACCTAAGGGCCAGGCATAGGGGAAACTGCAGAGGACAAAACAGTCATGGTCTTAGTGCAGCTATCTCACGATGCCGTGTGGCTTCTGACCAAACTGAGGTCCTGAGAAAGGAGACTCATTTTCCCAACAGCGTAATCGCCCATGGGAGTGAGTAGGAATTCCTAGGAGCTGTAGAGGATGGTTTTGTGGGGGGCAGGCAGTACACAGCCCAAACACCAAGTGGGTGAAGTGATGGGGAGCGTAGGTTCACACAGTGCAGGGGCAGATCCCAGTTTTGTGGGGTCTGAGTCTTATGACTTGGCAGCCTTCTTTAAGAATACAAAAATAGAAATATAGAATTGCTAGGGCTGCTCCCAGGACCCTGGAAGAGGCCAGACCAAGTGAGGGGCCCTGGAGCTTGAACTTCATTACCTGCATGGTAAATTGACCTGAGGGCTGGTTAGGTGCTGGCACCCCATAGAGAACTGCTATATTTCACTTTCAGGCAAAGCTCAAGGGTCCTAGCTCCACATCTCTTTTTAACCCATCATGGACCTTAGGACGCAAGTCCTGCACAGCCAATCTGGAATACCAATGATTAGACAGTAGATATCTAGGATTCAGATGGCACAGGAAAAGGAAGTTCTGGGTTATAATAATTGAGGGTACTTTCCCTCAAAGCTTTTTTTGTGTTTGTCACTGAGTGGTCCCAGTATGGTTTTAGAGCAAGTTTTATTAATCTCATTTGCCTAACAGAAACCTGAAGTATAGCTTGCCAAAAACACCTAATGGCGTGGAGTGGTCATTAGAACCTGGGGCTCATCTCCGCTGACTCGGTGTTCCTAATTAAGGGTGTTCAGTGGCTAGGATTCTAAGATCCTATGATGTACAGGTTTCTGATTTAAACCTGTACCCCAGGGAAGGCTTTTTGCACTATCCCATATCTGAGTTTCATGCTCATTCCTGAAATTCCAGTTGGTTTACCTAGCACCTAGTATTGTTTACAAAAAATGCCACAGTGCTCTGAGCACTCAAACTGGAGATTATTAAACAGATTTAAAACTAAACAGATGCTGTGGTTCATTACAAAGCTAGCCATATTTCAATAAGAAAGGGGAATGATGGCTGTATACTCATTACTTACCTCAAAGCATGTTGCGAGAGAATTAGTTACTTGTCATGCTTTGAAATCTCTGGATGAAAGGTGCTTTGGAAGCACAAAGCATTAGCACTTTTCTCATAGGGACTGTCCCCGTGTATACCCAGCAGTACATTTTACAGAAGACAAATTAACTGAAGGCTTTTCTTTTATTACATCTAAAGAGCTCTACATAAACAGGTAACATTCAATAGGTAAACAATTTTTTTTTTCCAATGCATGTAATAAATATTTTCACTTGGAACTTTTATACAAACTGACATTGGTCTACTATACATTTTTAAAAGCCATTTTACTGGTTTGGCATGCGGTATGGAAATTCTAAGAGAGAAAGTTTTAAGGCAATGAATCACAGATTTAAGTTCATGGAATTTATGGTAACTTTTATATCTGTTTATATACATTTTCCCCTTTGTTAATTAAACAATTAACAGCAGCACACTCTGGGACCACCAGCTAGTCTCCCTCCCTCTTTCTGAAATCTAAGCTTTGTGATTTTTTTAATTGAAAAACAGAATTCAACATGTATTGGTAAAACAAAATTCTTACTAAAATAATTTCAAATGTGCTTTAAAGTCTTGAAGATCTTGAAGTGTCTTATGCATTTAAAATTGGAATTGTTTAAAAAACAATGTTCTTTCCACAATTAGTAATTTAAAATTGGGATATATTTTCATTCAGTTTCAGACATTTGACTCAAAGGAAAATCTGCCAAGAAATCACATTTTTCAGAAGCTTAAGTGAATCTTTTCTAAGTCAGTAATAATACAGAATTGTGATAATGTCTAAATTAATAGAAGTAGAAAAATTTTAATGCTCAAAATAAATTAGTCAACCAAGTGTGGTATGGTTAAGGTTCAGATTGTTTTAAAAAGATGTGTCCAATAATGCCCACAAAATAATTAAAAGCCACTTCAACCTTGCTAGTCAAATAGCTATTTTATCAAAGATGTGTGTGTGTAATATATATATATACACACACACGCACGTATACATACAGTACTGTACAGAAACACAAACATATGCACACCTATTATGAAAGACCAAGGCAAGGAGGATGGTGGCAACTTGCCTAAAGATTCTGAGAAACACTATTTGTCCACAGACAGCATGTCAATGTTGGCATGGGTGGGAGAGTGAGGGTGGGCTAAGGAAAAAAGAGATGAAATGACTATGCGTGCTTTTTTTAACTTAGAAGATAAAGATGCAGTGCATGACTCTTACTAATAATTACTACAGATCATGAAAGTTTGATCGACTAACGCAACACTGTGGAACGACAACAACTGAAGGAAACAAACTCCTTAGAGTGGAATGAACTAAAATAAAAAGACAACCGAACAGTTAGTTTCTCTTGTGGAGACATGACCAAAGCCACTAGACATTTATTTCTCCCTATTACCTGTTCTTCCCTTAGGATGGTATAGAGCAGGACACTGAGGGAAATTAACCCTCTCCAAAACTTGGCTGAAGAAAGTAGAGGGATGGATTTTCAACTGGATCATTCAAAGAGTTTGTAATTCAGCATCATACACAAAGTTATTGATCAGAATTTTGAGGCCATTAACAACGACAGAAAAAAAAAAGGGAAAACTATTCATTTTGTCTTAGGTATCTGAATTAATAGAAATGTCTCCTATTACAATGTGAAATAAGAAGCAACTCCCCACAATTTAAGTAATTTCTATCCCAATCTGAATTTAGGCACAAATTATGATACTATTAAATATTAGCCTAAGTTAATATGGCAATGAGAGTTCTTAAGGTGTTTACTCAGCATAATACCAGATTCATTTAAAAACTCAACTATTTCCTGTTTTAACCGACAATGAATCTTTTTTTTTTTTATTGCAAATTGTTTAGTGACTATAACTCAGCCATGGATGTGTGGAATACACATGCGTAGGGGAAGACTATGTAACTCACTTGTCACTCACACACACTTGTCTATAAATACATATATACACACACACATATACATATCAACACCAACTTGTTTTTCAAAATTCAAGTCAACAATTTAGTGGCAGAGAGATGCTGTAAAAATAGATATTATTTTTAGATGCCACACAGTCATGTGAACCATTAATTTTATCATACAACTGAAGATACAGCCATCTTGAATTCTACCTGGATTAAAGTAGGTCATTTTGTTACCACTGCAAGGTTTAAAACGACAATTTTATACACAAAGGTGGTCCTTCATCAACTCTGAGAACAATAAGTTGTGATATAAAAATCCAGTCTGGAAAACTGGTAATCATTATGCCCCTTCTTTATCTTTTCTGTTAAACCTGCTAAACCTCTCAATCAGCTAAAAAATATTTTCCGCACCTTCAGTTATTACCTGAAGAATGTAATACCTTCTCTGATGAGGATTTTGGAACACAAGTAGAGTCACTTTTCCTTCCCTCCAACCCTCACTCATCTCCTGAAAAACAGTTTTCAATATATTTACATGTTCCATTATTAACAAGAATAGATCAGACTGATCCATGAAGTCTAAAAAAACATTGATTTTCCTATGTCATGCTTGTCTTTAAAAGGTGAAGAGAAAAATAAAATAAACAAGATAGCCAGGCTATGAAAATAAGTACACTCAGAACCAGAGAGTAAAAATGACTAAGGATCAAGCCCATTTTGAATTTCAACCGTTTATCAGATAGTGGATTTCTATGGATTGACATGTGTGGTGCAATGTATTTTCTGAAAAGAATTTACTTTTAGAATAATTGACTTTCTTTCTTTTTTGAGGTTATGTAACCTTACCTCTGTCAGCTGCACAAGACATGCAACAGGGCTTTCTAAGCTATTTTTACTTCCTACTTTGGTATGAAGATCTTACATGAAAACTTGTTACCCTGTGGCCAAAAAAGCAGGTTTCACAGACTTGGTTTTAATACATAATACTGGCAATCCAAATTTAGAAGAAAGAACTAGACTAAAGTGTATTATTCACAGGTCTGCTAAGTCTACTCATTACCCAGACAGCTTTACTCCAATCTCTAGAACATATTCTCAGGGGATATCTAGCAAAAAGGAGAGAATATGTGATGGAGAACATGCAGTTGGGATAGTCAATAAAGATGCTCATATGTGAGTTCAAGACCTTCAAAGCACTTTGAAAGAAGCAGGCAACTGATTTATGAACTGAATGCAAACTCGGGAGGAGAAGAAACAGTAACGACAGAAAAAGACACACAGATACACACACTGAACACACACCCCCACGAATTATGTCCTGAAAATACAGAGGGAATGCAGTGGGGCAGATGAGATTTATAACTTAAGGATGGATAAAATATGCACACACACAAACAGAATCCAAGTCTGCCATTTTTAGAAAATAGAAATTAAAACTATCTCCCCCAACCCCCTCCCACAACAAAGAAAAGCCCACAATTTAAAACTTCATACATGCAATTCCTTTTCTGCTATTGCAAATAAAATAATGCCATTGAAGTAAAATAAAACCAAAACCAGAGACAAATGATGAAAAAAATCTTCAGAATCTAGAAAAAATGAACTGAAGGTGGTTTGTGGGTACTTGTTTTTTTTCTTTTTTCTTTTCTTTCCTTTTTTTTGTTTTTTACAAGTGTTTTATCAGACAGGCAGTCTTAAATTTATATACAAAAGTAAAACTGAAAATATAGTTTTGTTCTCTGTACATTTCTTTTAATTTTTTCCCTAAAAAAAGGAAAAAAACACACTTGTGTACTTTTCTAAACAGAATAAGGTAAAACATAGCACAAAGTTCTCTTCTTTCTGCCAAGTTCATTTAATCTAGAGTGGGGATGGGAGCAGCAGGGGCAAAGGAATCAGTCCAACGAGATAATGTCTGGTATGATGCCAAAGATGGAGGCCGTGTCTGTGCTGCTCCTATTTGCGACAGGGTGGCTGTGGCTCTCCCTTAGGCTGTTGGAGGATACGAGGCTGCTATTACTGCCACTACTGCTTCCATTGGTGGTTGGCAGAGAAGTACTGCCTCCTGCACTTAACTGATCAAGAAACATCTGTGAGGAGGTATACGGAAAAAACCGAGACGAGTGTAAGAGGTCTTGATCATCTGAAACTGCTGCTGCAGCCGCGGCAAGAAGGGAGGTGTTATAATGCTAGAGAGGGAGACAAAAGACAGAACAAAATGCTCATTATACTTAGACATCAGGAAACTTTCTTCTTGGCAGAACAAAGTCCTAAATTTAATATATTCTGAGTATCTGGTGTTTCTGAAATATTTAATAAAACATTTTGCAAAATCAAATGGCCTTATGTAATGCTCACATCACTGATCTTGAGAGACATTTTGGTATCTGAAACTCGGGAAGAAAGGCAAAATAAAATTTTTATTGTTTTTTGTTTCAATTTTTATTGCAATTGGAAAAATTCTATTTCCAAAGAGGTAATATGCTCAGAAGCAGCAGGAAAGAGGACAGTCCACCCTCTTTCTCTTATGGAGATATTTGGTCAAGAAATTTATCAGTCAATATGACTCACTGCCCTACTTCCTTATAAAACAGTACTGGAAACCAACAAATAGATACTGTTCTTACTATACACTCAGGCACAGCTGAAACAAAGGGATTTTTATTTAAATTCTTAAAACCTTAACAATAATGGGGATGGCTACAGTATTCTGAATTTTTTAAGGAAATTTATTTTCTCTTGACTACATATTATACTTTTAAATATTTTAATGTACAATTAAAATAACAGTAATTTTTCTTTCACACAACCTACCTGATTGTCTCCTGATAAGAAAGGAAAGAAGTCTAATCCTGTGGGAGAAAAAATTATTTTAGTTCTGAAAATAAACAAAAAAAAACAGAGAGAAAACCCTCCCACATACCCCAATACTTCAAAAACAAATAAAAGTCTTAAATGCTAATTCTAAATTCATTTAGAATTTATTTAAACATGAAGAGTTGAGCTGAATGTTTCACATCCCTCCCATCTGTAGACCACCAAAACTGAAGTCCTGGCATTAGCGATGATTTGTCCTCCCTGTGACTCCATTTGTGGGACCTGGCCACTGCTGCCCTGCGGATCTAACAATGATCCCTTAAACTGACACAGCACTTTTCACCAAATGCTCTCACTGACTCCTCTTAAGTAACCTTTCAATCTACTCTAATTTACTTCTCACAAGCACCTCATGAGGTTTGTAATTATTTTTGGCCTCATTTTGTGGATGAAAAAGTTTGAAGTTGAAAGAAGTTAAAAGCAAGTTTAAGTACAGATTTTCTTTTTCTTTCTCAAATTTGCTCACTCGTCACTCTCTGTACCGGGTTCTGAGAGACTCTTCAGTGACATGAGAGGGGGAGAGATCTGAGGGGGTGTCTGACTGCTGGGGTAGAAGGACCAACTCTGATCCCTGGCTGCCATGGAGTCATTGCAAACCAGCCCTTCCAATTCACATTCTTGTTCATATCACCCCACGTGTAATGTGATGAAGAGCAGGTAAACCAATGTGAATAAAATGCCTCATTGTGACATCTACACTTGGGGAACAGTATAACAAGCAGATGCAGACAAAAATATGACAACAACACAAATACTCTGGGGATCCATCCACTGTCTACAGTAGAACAGATTATAACATGGGGACCTGCAAAATGTACAGCACTTTGTTTCTCCATAGTGAGACTTGGCAGTGGGCTAAGTAAGAAATAGCGCTGCATTGTCCAATAGAGTAGCCACTAACCACACAATGTAGTTTACTAAGATTAAGTAAAATAAAAAATTCAGTTCTTCAGTCACACTAGCCACATTTCAAATGCTTAATCACCATAGGTGGCTAGTGGCTACTGTACTGGCTGGTAGAGATTACATTTCCCTCACTGCGGAAAGTTCTATTGGACAGAGCTGAAATAAGGTTTTCATAACAATCACTAACAATCTACCCAACTATCTAAGCTCCCAAGAATCCTTGCCAGTGGCCATGGATTTTTCTGTAGGGGAGGGGTAGAGTGAAACTTCACTTTATGTTTTTATATTAAATTTTCTACAATAAGCATATATGGATTTTTGTAATAAAAAAGAAAAATGTTCTTAGATTATATGGCTAATACACAAATTACTAAATTACAGAAATATATGAGAATAACTAATAATTCTTGATAATGTAAATGACTATTATGAACTCAAAATACATTGTACAAATGAGTATACTGACATTTCAAACTACTTTTAAAAAGAAGAATCAGATTCACTGAAACAAAAAGTAAAACTTTCTAATGTCTCACTTGAGCATTACCTGAAAGATAATACAACATAGTTACCCACCATGCCTGCTGCATTATAACTGGATTCAGGGAACAAAAAATAATTTTCATAAATATAAGAACTGAAAGCAACATATTGGAAGTCATCCAAAAATAACTAGGCTACTTTGAAGCTCACAAAACCTAAAGATCATTGCACTAGTTTTACCACTGGTAGGAAAACATTGGCTATTGATGAAGATTCAAACAAGGAACTGGATCCATATTTATTTATGACCACAGTACATATTTCTCCCAGTTCCCTAGATCCAAGCCCCTGTTTTCCCAATCTTTCAATTCCTCCTTAGACTCACCCAGAAAACGACTATATAGATTAAAGATATTCATAATGCTATCTGACAATACAGAAGAACCAGTGACTCACCTTGTAAGTCATAAGGCATGGGTGTCATGTGGAAAGGATGCCTGTAGTCTTGGATGAGGGATGTGTTAATGTAGCTTGTGTCCACAGCAGGGAGGCTTGGGGTGCGGGACACTGGTGATGCTTGATGTGGAAGACTTAATATGCTAGAAGAAGGAAAGGTTTGCATAATTTTCATTTGTCAATTGAACTTGTAAGTTTAACAAACAAAGGGGTTGCATTTCATAATGAGTCCTAGCTTTTGTGCTAGAAATAAAAGACAGGAAAACAATATATAATTTAGACTACCATAATTATTAGGAAATAATTTGTATACTTAATAGCATTTTACAGAGGCTACAACAGGGAGAAATGGTTGGATACAATGGTATCCAACATTCCTAAGTTACATGCTCTCTTTGGAACATCATCATTTACACTCTCAGAATGCAGGGAGAAGGCACGGCTGAGCCACTTCTATGGGATATGAGTGAAAGGTATCTACAGCAGACAACATTCTGAAACCTTTTAAAAATAAGCACAGGAGTGTTGGCTAGTAAAAAGTATAGGTAAGTAAAGAAAGCACATACAGACAAGACTGGGAGAATGGAGCAAAGTGAGCAGTGAGGAGTTCACAGCTGGCCCCCAAACTATAAGCTTTATGACAACAAAAACTAGGTACTGTTTTTCTTGGTACATGCAATGCCCTGCACAGTCACATAGTCATTAGCACGCTGTTTGCATAAAAGGCCTGCTGAATGAACGAAGGCAGCAAGACAAGGAGAAGACATGCTTCAAAATGAACAGGTGGTAGAGAGTTTTTAAAGGGAGAATAGTATAACTGGAAAAAGAAAAAAAAACCAAAAAGAGTGATTCTGGAGGAACAGAGTGAAATGTTTAAGTAGCTGAGTAGTCGAATCTTTTTTTCTTTACCAAAAATTAAGGAAACAGCAAAAAGGAGGGCGAAAGGAAAAAGAAAAGGAAGAATTGAAATGATTTTGAAAAGAAAAAGAAAATTCTAATAGTCCTGAGTGCAAACAAAAGGTCATATGCTATCCCAACCATACAAGAGGCGAATAGGCATACTAAGTTATAGAAAATAGAGAAAAGAAGGTATAAAGAGGCTGTCTTTTGTTTTTAAAACTTTATGTAAAGTACTTGGAATGTGGAGACGCAATTTCAAAGGTACAGAATATTTCAGAAGATGCCAAGGTTGGATTTCCAGGAATAGAGTTCTAGTTATGACCATCTACCACATTTTTATGAATGGGATATGAAGCGTAAAATACACTCTCGTCAGCCTCAAAAATATGTTTCGTCTAATGGAAACTTAATTAAACCCCTTACATCTATAAAAAGTACCATTTTCCATTAGCTCTCTCCTCTGACAATGCCTAAGGGATTACAAGAGAGAAGAAAGCAGTTGAAATCCTAGTCTTTGAAAACATCTGGGTATACCAAACAGCAAAGGAAATTTCTGGATGAAATTTCTGAACTCAGTGGCTGAAGACAGCAAAATGTTTTACATTTACTGACATTTGCCTCTTTTTAATGCCGGGTTGGCTCCTTTTCTTTCAATTTTGTGATAATATTCTGAAATGCATTTCCACTTTTCCACTGCACAGTAAAAAATACAATATGCTGGGTTTAGGTTTCTATTTATTGGCTAGTCATTATTGTAAAATGGCCACTAGTATTGAATATGGTGTTATCCTTCTAAAAATGTCGTAAACTTTCAGGTTGCTTGTTTCTATCTGAAAATAGAGAGAGAAAGGTCTGGCATTTGAAAATACTATATCTGGGTTTAATTAGTCACTGGGAAGCTCAGGAAGCAGTTAATGCATCTAATGTAATTTTCCAAACACAATAAACACAGCTCTTTTTGAAGAAACAGCAATGTAAATATCCAAAGAAGAAGATTTCCAAACTCTCAAAAAAGTTGCCTTTACGGAAAAATCCATAGTCAGTAAAATTATTGCACAGTTTACATATATATATGACTATTAATATTCTAAAAAGTAGAACATATATAATGATGCATTTAATCCATACAGTATTTGTATACCCAAAGATTTATGAAATATCTTTTAATGTTGCAATTACGGCATTTAAAGAAATAATATGATAATATGTGTTTGGTAATACTATGGTTTGATGTTAAATATATCTTGGAATGGAAATTCTATAGAAATTTGCTCTAACTACATCAGCTTCCGATAATTTGACTTTTCTTTTTCTCCCACTCAGATTTATTATAAAATAAGCTGGTCTAATAATAAGGATAAGCTCGTTGGGTAACAGCCATCAAGGTAGCCTTTCATCAGAGGTAAATGTTTATAAAGTAGGATTTAAAGTAAAATTAGTGTTTAAATATTCACTTTGTTTAGAATAATGATACTGCTTTGAATGTCTTTATTTCTGTCTGTGTGTATGCTGAGATAAGCTACTCCAGAGTGAAAATATCAACTTGTGTAAGATGTTTGATTGTATTACGAAGATTCCTGAAACAAAGCCTCCTCACGAGTGAGCAGCTACATTTATCACGATTGTGTTCTTTACTGTCGCAACTTTATCTTTCAAGTAGCCACAAATATATTCAAATAGAAGATCTTTTCATCGCATGAAACAATATCAAACCTGAAAATGATCTGACTCCATGTACGGAAATGCTTGCTCTTGGTCTGGTGTTAACTTCCCCTCTTACACCTTGAAATCTGTAACCATGCCTTCTGTGGACTTCCCTTCTCTCACTTTCATTCTTTCCCCAGGCACTACTGTTTGTTGGAACGAGATTTTTTTAATAGCCCCTACTCAGTTACCACAGGCCACATAATTCTCCTGGTTCTAAAAAGGGGCACCTCTATTTCAAGAGTTACTTCCAGTGTGCTCCAATCGGGCCTCAGCAAAACAGGAAGTCTTTTTGCTGAGAATCCCCAACATCTCTCGTGAGACTAACAATAATAGTCTGTTTAAGAGGACAGCTAGAGTTAGCTACTTGTTTTACCATCCTCTACAAAATGTTAAACTCTTTAAGGTTATAGACTATACTTACTCATTTCATTATCACCATGTTTAGCACAGGGTGTTTTACATAAAGTAGATAACAGTGTTTCATGAACTGAACTGAAGCATAACGAAGATACATTATTATTGATATGAGACTAATGGGAAACAGGGGAAATGAGTCTATAAAATAGAAAGCACTGTGTACTGTAACTTCAGTCTTAGACTTCTTTTCACTGCCAGCCTTACACATAGTGAGGCAGGTTTAAAGCATCCATCTGGTCTTCTTCTGCTTTCCTCTTGAAACACTCAGACTAATTTCATAGCATACATTTTCCAGTTTGAGTAAATGTCCTAAATCCTATGAGTGGTATTAAGATCACCTGGGAACTTAAAAATACAAATTTTCTCTATTCCTATTCCTGAATCAGATGTTGGGGGATAGAGGAGCAATGTGTGTTTTGATAAGCCCTCTGGGTGATTCTGATGTACACCAAAGTTTGAGAACCACTGTACTAGAATCATCTTTTGGTATGATGAATACTGTATCCAAGTGACCCCTTTAATGCATTATTCCAACCCCTCAAGAAATATCACACACTGGGCCGGCCCTGTGGCTTGGTGGTTAAGTGCGCGCGCTGCGATGCTGGTGGCCCGGGTTCGGATCCCGGGTGCGCATCGAGGCACCACTTCTCCGTTCATCCTGAGGCCGAGTCCCACGTACAGCAACTAGAAGGATGTGCAGCTACGACACACAACTATCCACTGGGGCTTTGGGGGGAAAAAAAAAAAAAAAAAAAAACTTTAAAAAAAAAAAAAAAAAAAAAAGAAATATCACACACCTGGGAAAAATTCACCCTATTCTTTGATTGCTAAGTTTTTTACTACCATGCATAATCATTATATGTGCCAGATCTTTTAATTCTATTTGCAAAATTAACCTTCGCAAACTTTTTTTTTAAGACCTTAGCACTTACCCTTTATTATTTAGTGGTGATGTGGGAGATAGAGAAGGACAGGTCCTCTTGGCAGATGGCTCTTCCTCCTCTTCATCAGATGAACTGTCTATGGTTAGGTCTATCACCTCTACTTTCTTATTTTTATTTGAGGACTGGTGGTGAGAAGCCACCTGATGCTCCAATGTGGAGCTCAAGCATCCTGTGGGGGATGATTAAAAACACAAGGCAAAAAAGACCTATGACACCTCTTTTTTTTTCTCAGCGTGTCTACGGATTAATTTATCAGTTATAGTTTAGACCTACAATATTGCTGGTGTCACAGAGTAGAAAACCAACAGCGGCTCTGTTCCTCTAAGCATAAAACTACTATTTATTATTGGTTGTTAAAGGATTCTTTTGAAAAACAATTCTGAATTAGGGCAAACAATCAAAATGTATGTCCACTTCAGAATAAAAGAAGTTTGAGGACAAAGACTATCTATTACATATGTTTACCTGTACAGTACCTGATATACTTAAGGAATGCTATGGTAACATTGTTAAAAAGTTATAGCCTCCTTCCAGCAAAAACACACTAAAAGCCAGGGAAAAAATGTAAATGAAAAAGGAACGTTCACTAATCTGTACCAAATCTGCTAAAAATTTTAAAGGATACCATTTCAAAAGCATGACTTTACAAATGACTTATTAGATTATGTTACTTTGAAATCTATACCACAAAATTTTAAAAGCTGGCAAAAAAGTGAATTTAAAAGGAGTTTTACTACTTCTGAACATTTAATCAATAATTTAGTAAGAGTTATTGAGCTATCCATAAACTGCTGAATGTTTTTTAAAAATTTATGCATTTTAATATTGAAAACCAAGGCTTTACAACAGCAGGGAGATTGCCCCACTCTTTTGGAAAACTAACACTCACCATCAACTCCATTGTAAGAGGCAGAAACTTCCTGCACCTCCTTTTTTGATCTCATAGGTGCCCAAGAGCCATCCTCCTTAAACTGTATTTCATCACAATCTGTACAGTACTTTAGGATTTCCATAAACAAGCTACAAAAAACAATTTGTCCTTTGAATATCACACTCTAAATGAAGACAGATTAGAATTATTACCGGTCAAAAAACATTCAGACCCTCTATGTTTTGCACAAGTATAAATGAGGAGGAAGAAAGTAGAACAGACAGTTATATTTGCTCTCAAATTCTAGGGCTAAACAAGAAAAATGTTACCTAAATTATGGTACTTTTATGCAAGGATATATTATGTAACTATGAAAAATGAGGTTTCCAAAGATTTTTAATAATACGGGAAAATATTCACAAAAAGTGGGAAGAGGCCAAGAAAAGAAAACACTATATTTTAAAAATAAAATTCTACGTGCGAGTGGTATATAAATAGCAGTTAACTCTGAGTGGTGACATTATGGATATTTACTTTTCTTCTTTATACTTTTTTTTACACACTACAAATTGCCTACAATAAGCATATCTTATTTGATAAACTGAAGCAATATAAAAATAGGTATTAAATGTTAAGTCTCCTTGATAAATATGCAGATATTTAAAAATGAGATTTGCAAAAATATGTGTAAAATTAACGGTCAAATTCTTAGGTTATGATGTTAAATGAAACCAGAGGATTAAAAATATTAATACCGCACAATCACAATTATGTGAAAACAAAAATCAGAAAATAACACACCACAAAAGTCTTTATTTTCCTGTGTTTTCCAATTTTTCTTTAAGTGAGTGTGTGTAGATGGCTTTTATATCGAGAGAAAAATTCCAATTGATTGGGATATCCAAAGCTACATAATATACACAGCTGGTAAAATATTATTATTCAATTCAGATTTAGTGATCACTGTCATCTCTGAAAAATTAAGCATAAAACATTGAAGTTACATGTTTCCTTTTTTTCCCATGAGTGATCTGACATCTTTCAAGCTCTGGGTTACACTTGTATTGCTAAATGTATTCCACTCTTGACATTACACACTCAGAATCCTATGTTTTCTCAAGTACTATAGGTAAGTTGCCTCAGTGTTTTGCTAGAGAGTACAGGAAATATTAAGATCTTTATTTTCACAATTTATCTTTGTTCAGTTGCAAAAAGCAGGCTAGAGAATAGAGGAAAATTTAGAGGAACATGCCAAGATATATGGTAGGATAGATCAAACGCAGGAGTGTTCAAAAAATAATTGATTGTTGTGATGCTGTAGGTGGACAAGAAAAAGAAAAGTATTTCAGAGGACAGAGAAAAACAAAGTAAGCTGCTATTCAGTGTGTTGATCAGTTTTAGGAGCCCTTATAGTGGGGAATAGGTATGACGGACCATGACTGAAGCAACAGAAAATCTCCCAAAACAAGCCCAATTTTTGGTGAGCTTAAGTTAAGCAGAGTTTCACAATTCCTTCATTCTTCCTCTAATATGGTCTGTATGTCTAGGGATAGATGGATTCATGCTAGGAAAAGGTGTATGCATATCCTGCTTAGAATCTCTGGTGCTTTAAATGGGAAATGTCAGGAGGCACTGACAGTCAAGAATGCATTTCCAAAACAAGAGGACAGGAAGTTAGAAAGGAAAAATGTTCACAGTGTTAATTACTTATTTTGAAAAATTACTGATTTCTAGAATCATGAAAATTCTAAAAATATATAACCAGAAAACACCACCAGTAGAATTTTTATCCCAAACCTGATGAATAAGAAACTCAGATAATAGATGGTCATTCCAAGGTACAAGGAAAAAGTTTAAGCGACATACCCATCAATAATAAGGTGTTCATATGGAGCCTTCTTATCACAGACAGGACAAACCCAGGTTGGTTTTTTCTCATTCATTTGAATATACAGAGTTGCATCAAAACATTGCAGATGAGAACATGTAAGGGCCCGACATGGAATTGTCAGCCGCATTTTACCAAGCTTTAAAAGAGGGAGACAAAAGTAAATATTAGATAGTAAATATTAGATAGTTACTCAAAATTTAAGTTTTGATAAAAATTTCCTGAAACACAACATGTCTGTGTTCTAATTTAAAGCATACTGTGTTTACTTTTCATCAATACGGAAGAACATTAAATAAATTTTCTGTAAAAAGTTATAGTATTTCTTTGGATATTAAACACAGTGACTATGAAAAGTCTATAGCAAGGATTATTTACTCCCAAGCCATAGCTCACAGATCGGCTTTTGAGGGAAAAGACCATGAACCCCTTGAAATTATATGCAAAATTTTTTTTTTTTTTAAATTTATTTATTTTATTTCCCCCCAAAGCCCCAGTACATAATTGTATGTCATAGCTGCACATCCTTTTAGTTGCTGCATGTGGGACGCGGCCCCAGCATGACGGGAGAAGCGGTGCATCAGTGCGCGCCCGGGATCCGAACCCGGGCTGCCAGCAGCGGAGCGCTCGCACTTAACCGCTAAGCCACGGGGCCGGCCCTATATGCAAAATTTTTGTAAGCGTGTGCATCTTTCTGGAGAGAATGCTTTCACCAAATTCTTAGAGTAGTCCCTGATCCAAAAAAGTTAAGAACTACTTTACTTGGAATTTGGGAAAGGAAAAAAGAATGTCTGACTAAATACTGCAGGATACCGATACAATGACATTTACTATCAACCTGATCTCTGAATGAGAGTAGTTCACAGGTCAAAATGAAATGAATGCCAAGCATTCCCCACGAAGTTTGGCATAATTGCCAAACAACAGCTCTGAGAAGGAAGCCAGGTGTGTTTGCCCTCTGTATTTCTTCCCTCACTGGGCACCATCACAGGCAATTCAGCAAATACTCCTGGACCTGTAGCATCTCCAGCATGTTATGAGACTTTCTCTTCCAGCCCTGCTAATGTTGCTTAAGTTGACATAGGTTGAGTCTGTCCTTTGGACAATAAAATCTGCTTCATCTGGTCCCTGAACTGCTAGCTTTGGCACAAGGCAGAGAAGCTGCCCAGAGACCTGCCATAGCATGACCTCCTTCCCTGGAGGACACCTCACACAGCACAGCTGGATTACTGCTGTGGGGTGCCCAGAGGCCACAACGGCCAGAGTATAGGAGTTATCTACTTTCAATAACCACATTAGTTGCTAAATACCAGGAAAAGATTTTCCACATATTTGCAAGCTTGAAAAATATAAATGCTTGAAAAGGATATGAGTTGAATGAGGAAAAGATTCTTGGAAGAATTTCAGGGAAATGTGCAATTTCCTAGTCTACCAAGGAAATTAACTGTCATTTGGGGCCTTAAATTATTGTTCTGGTATCAATGATTTACTGTGCCTCTAGGAAAGGCACTTAACCTTTCCAGGCATTTTTTTCTATCTCTAAAGTAACACTGTTTCCTTCTTACTTCAACAGGATGTAGTGATGGAGAATAAAAAAGGACCCAGAACGTGCTACAAACTCATGACAAGGGAGTAATGCAAGTTTACAGTATCAGAAGTACGGACAGCGGGGACACAGAGAAAACTGATAGCTCCCTTCTCTGCTCCCAACTTGACCCTGCATATGATTATACTATTTATTTATGTGTGTGTCTTCTCCTACTAGAAATACACCGGACTCATCTCCTTATCCTCAGCACTTGGATATGTACCTGCTATACAGCAGGAAGATGGCCCTGTGTACTGATAAGGCTCTGGTGTGCACACTGAGCAGCTCTGGCAGGCACCATCCAGGAAGGGTGTGTAGGATGTATGCAGCCCTTTACGAGGCAGCTCTGAGAATGAGTTCTGGAGTTAGACTACCTAGGTTTGAATCCTGACCCCATTACTTACCGTGTAAATCTTGAATGTTAGTCTGTCTCTCTGAGCCTGACACATAGTAAGTGCTCAATATATGTACCCACTATTAATAAAAGTACAGAAACATATTTGCTTCAAATCACTTTGTAAGCTAATAAGAGACCCACCCAAACCCCAGCTCAGTTATTCTCTTCTATGCTCACACTATTAAATAACTTCATTACCCACTTTTTACACTTCTATTCAATTTTTATGATTTGATTTACTTAAGCACCTGATGAAAAGGCAAAAAAGAACAAACTAGCTCTTGTAACAGGAAAATCATCTATTTACCATGAGCCAAGACATGCTGCATTAGTCCAGAAACATTTTCCAAATAACAATCTATTTGGAGGTGCTAAATTACATTTTTATATCTTAAGTCAGACCTTAACTTACTTGTGAAGTGCAAATTCTTACTGAGCAGGTATTTTTGCTACTGCCTTAACACTAAGTAGAGAAATCATAGACTAAAAACCCTAGACAAATACAGTAATAGCAGACAAGGTTCATGTACTACAGAACTAGAAAGCTACTTCTGATAGTTTATGAAGATAGTGGATAAGAAGACAAAAAATAAAAGATTGTTTCAGAATCCAAGCCATAGGCCATAAAACTTATACTCTGAAAAGCAGTTATTCTCTAAAGGCCTTCATCTCACACATCCTCATCCCTATAATCCCCAGCTGTTAGTTCATCTTTACGAGAGAGCAACTCTTAAGTCCTTATGATCAGCCACGCTGACAAGTTTACCAACAGAGTTTTTAAGGAACACTGCTACATGAATGGCACAGGAAGGACATTTATAAATGGGAATAGGAAAGGAAAAGCTCACTTTCAAATGCACTATTTATTAGCTGTCACACAAATGCCTTGCTTCAAAGATTCACAAAGTAACTATTATTATGATAATCCTCCTCATATTCCTGATTTTTAAAAACAATCAATAAATTCTAAATACTTATCTACAAACAGACACTGATTTCTCTAACTTGGCATCAGGAGAGATGCTGAGTTTTGAACATCTTCATCTTGTAATTACAAATTTTCCTTTTCCTTTTATAGGACGCAGTGGATATCTGCATCATTTGCAGATAAACACTGAAAACAACTCCAAAACAAGTTTTCTCATGCCACTCACCTTACTATAACATAACAGTGCTAGATTAGCAACTGATGATGCTGCAAGAGAAGAGAGAACGCCCTCCCTAGACATAAGTTTAAACCAGCTTGTATCAAAAGGATCTTAAACAAGTCAAAAAAATATTTTTTTCCTTGTACAAAGAAAAGTGTGACATTAAGAATAATTCTTTTCTTTCTTTTTTTTTTTTTGTGAGGAAGATCAGCCCTGAGCTAACATCTGTGCTAATCCTCCTCTTTTTGCTGAGGAAGACCGGCTCTGAGCTAACATCTATTGCCAATCTTCCTCCTTTTTTCCCCCTAAAGCCCCAGTAGATAGCTGTATGTCATAACTGCACATCCTTCTAGCTGCTGTACGTGGGACACGTCCTCAGCATGGCTGGACAAGCGGTGTATTGGTGCGCACCCGGAATCCGAACCTGGGCCGCCAGTAGCGGAGCACGCGAACTTAACCGCTAAGCCACGGGGCCGGCCCAGAATAATTTCTTTTCTTCATCTTTTTCTTCATCATCATCATCATAAATAAATTTCCAAGAAGTTTATTTTATTTTTTTTCTTCCATCAACTCCAAGTCACTTGTATTTGAGTTTATAGGTCTGAGAAGTATCTCACAAAGCAGGTTTTCAAACATTCTTCTAGCTCTATTTTTAATAAATCAGAAGTAAAAAATTCCCAAAGAGTAAAAACATTTTTAATTATTTTCATTGCCTTTAGCTGAATGGCACACAAACAAGAGAAACTCATTTATTTTGAGCTGTGTATATCACAACAAGGGCAATTCAAATGCACAGTCAGACACCATATTTACATATTTCAAAGGGAACAAATCTCTTTTATTATTCTATAAATTTGATATATAGATGAGTTGTCATTACTAAGTTTTACTTTTTAGAGTAAAAACATACCTAAAATATATTGCTTTATTGTTCCAGAATAATTGTAAAGGGATTGTCCCTTTAGCCAAATAGAAATCCACAAAAGTATTACAATTATGGATTATATCTATAGTTGTTTTTTCTATAATCTGAATTTTGAAAGCAGATCTCAACTTAAACTGCTAAAACTGTTGAAACTAAAAAGGGAGGAGTAGGGGGATATGGAAAGAGAAATTAAAAACTGGCCCACTAAATTAAGAGGTGCAAGGAGCAAAATGTGATTAACATTTTCTAATACAGAGAAGATCACCTGTACTATAAAATTCAAAACTAGTTCTATAAATAAAAAGTCAAGATTCATATTGTAGTGCTTATTTATATGAATGCTTCGTTTAAATGCTGAATGATATAAACATCATATATATCAGCACAACTGTAAATACTTGTAAAATGGGATTGCAGAAAAATAAGACTTCTTCCAGTGATTTAAGTGGAAAATGAGGCTTATGCACTTTTCTAAATTACTCATATTCTCTGAACTGGTGTTTTATAATGGAATGGAGTGACAAGGAATCATGTGGAGGGGGAAGGTGGATAAACTCGGATTTTGGGGAAAGAGAGTAGGATAAGTATGTATCTTTTTTTTTTTATCTTTGCCTTCTTTGCACTCTCCACTTACCTGGTATGGGAACCATTTTTCTAAATGTTAAAAAATACCAGTTTCCTTTACACCACAATCTGTTATAACATTTATCTGGTTACTTAAGAATCCACCTTCCCCCTACCCCGGCCAATATTTTTTATTGTGGTAAAAAACATGTAACGTTAAATTTACCACCTTAACCATTTTTAAGTGTGCAACTGAGTAGTAAGTATATTCACACTGTTTTGCAACAGATCTCTAGAACTTTTTCATCTTGCAACACTGAAACACTATACTCACTAAATGCTAATTCCCCCTCCCCCCAGCCCTTGGTAATCATCTTTCTACTTTCTGTTTCTATGATACTGACTAGTTTAGATAATTCATATGTGTAGAATCATACAGCATTTATGCTTTTGTGACTGGTTTATTTTGCTTATCATAATGTTCTCGAAGTTTATCCATGTTGTAGTATATGACAGG